CTGCCATGATTGATTTGTACTTCTTGATCTGAAAGAAGTTCAATCCAAAAGCAATAGTCACACCAATACACAAAGAAATGTATGGCAGACCAGCTACACCTTCACTCCAGCCGTGATGTTCTTGAAAGGTAATTGGGATGACCGACAAGAACAAGAAGGTGACGAACCAGGCGAAAGCGATCCATAAACCGAAGGCGAACACGACAGGCTCTGTGGCAAGCATTTTGACCGCCTTGACAGAAGAATTGTGAAGCATCTCTTTCAAATCCTTTGCCTCAAGATCCATCTCGGCCTTGTATCTTTCATCGCCCGTTGCAGCTCGGAGAAGCTTAGCTCGTTTGTGCAATGTGACACCACCTCTGGTTTCACGAAAGAAAAGAAGGATTGTAGCGAGAAGTGGTAAGTTTGCCAACCCTTGGATTCCTTCGATCCATCTCCAGCCAATTGTTTCATCGATAAATCCGGCATAAATTGGCGCGCCAACCGTTCCTAAGATTGCTACATACGCGAAGCATGCCATTGGAACAGCTCTTGAATCTGGAGTATACATATCACTGAAGGTTCCGCCGACGAGAATCGTGCCTACACAACCAAACAATCCACCTATGCATTATTAGTAATTGCACATTGCTATCTTTGAAGAAAGGGTACTTACTTAATGTTCTCATAACGAGAATTGTTGCAATGTTTTTGCCCAGAGCCAATCCGATGAAAACAATGATGAATCCCGCATACGCGCCAGTATAAATGATCTTTCTGCCGACCAATTCGCAGAAAGGTGCCAGGAACAATGGTGCGAGTGCACAAGCCATATTGAAACAGAAGAGTCCCAATTGTCCTAATTCGGTAGAAACGCCAAAGTCATCGCACATTGATGTGATACCACTACTATATGCAGTTGTTGCCAAACCGATGAAAAGTGTCATCATACACAGCAACACTGTGATGAACACTTTCTTTCCCGTAGGCCAGTTGAATGGATTCTCTGGATCTCCATTGGCGAAATGAAGGAGAATATATTCTTCGCCGTCTTTTGTGGTAAGCTCAGTGCGAGTTTCTGGCATATCGATATCGACCTCTTTCAAAGGACCGTCCTCAACATTATCGCTATCGCTACCACGCATCGACTCTAAGAAAGAACCTCCTACTACTCGTCCAACGGGTGGTGTTCGATTTTCCTCTTGCTTCAAATCCGGTAGTTCAGAATTCGAACTGTCCTTGTTGTTGGGGGCGGGGCGAGGCCCATTGTGCTTTGGAAGGTCTGCCATGTCGTATTCTTGAGGTTCGTTTTGAGGATTTTGGGAAGTCGACATTTTCGGGAATGGGGGGATACTTGGGGAGATTTATTCAACTTTTGAAATAAGGAGACTCCAGAGAGGGGGCCCGTTAATATGTTCTCCAATTGTTGGAGCACCACATTTTCCCATAAGTCATCATCGACCTGTGGTGCCGGTATGTGTTGCCATTGATCTATGTCGTCATAGACCGAGGAAAAACCGCGTGAAGAGATTTCGGCGACACTTCAAGTTGGAGTTCCATATTTTGGTGGACTACCTGATTCAATCGTTGTTGATATCGAGTTTGACTTTTAGTTTTGATCCACAAAGAAGCCGGCACTAGATTGACATCGGGTATCCTAACACACATCCTTCCGACTCGCCTCGCCAACGGAATTAAAATGTGTTCAAGAAATTTGGTGCATTGTCTACGATAAAGCCGCTCATTGCATAATTGAAGCAACAGAGTGTAGCTCATTACGACTATTTTTATTAACTCTACAATGTCGAAAATCATTAAATTTTGCTGTAGGGTCCTACACTGAAACCGTCACTCACTGTTCGCATTGAAGCCCGTCAAATTTTTTCAACAGGGCTGGGTCCATATTTGTGGATTCCTAAACGCGCTAGAATGACACTAGAACATCACTAGAAGGATCTGATGTCTAGGGGTTTCCGGTACACGAACAATTTGCGTCCGGGCTTTAAATTTTTCAACCTGCCGCCAAGTGGTTGTGTGCAAATTTTGACGGCCTAGAGTTGGCATTTGTAGCACTTGTTTACGATGCATCGACTGGTATACGCATTATTCAATTCTGTTTTCGATATTCGATCGGAAGATTCGTGCATTGCGCTAGGAAATTGAGGTTTTGGCAGTGCTAATTTGCGACTATGCCGGAGATAATACATTGGTCTATTTCTATACTATATCCAAGCACGAATTTTACTGACGGTAGGTATTATTAAGGGTTTTATGGTTTACTGCAAACTCTACGAAGTGGCTTATCAATTAGCCATTGGTTAGTGTTTATCACCTAGCGGTCCGCGCTCGCCGCTCCCGTCGACTTAGCGATTTGATCGAACACTCCTTTCTCGAGTGTGGCCCTGCATACCGTATGAATCCTGTATGTCGGTGAGAAATAAAGGTAAGGGATTTCCCTTGCGAAACGCTTCGAGACCTTACAAACATAAATGAGGCTCTGGAGGCGAGCATCATAGGCAATGATGCTCATCGGATATATCGAAAATGGATATCCGGCAAGTGGGGCGGATGCTAGAAACGTTCCACCTTTAAGTGGATACAAGATATTCCATAATTGGGACTCATGGGTCGGTATCTCGTTTACCTTTCTTTTCTTGGACGTTCCTTGATTTTCGTGAAATAATCGAATTCGTTGCCATGCTGGCTATGACGGTTTGGTCGGATTGAGTGAGATGTCCGGTGGCTTTGTCGGATAATTTCAAAGCCTCACTGGCTTGAAATAATCTGTGGGATTTATAAGATAAGGTGGGTTTGCTGCATATTGCTAGAACTATGTATCATCTCACGATCTGGATGATATTGGCACTACGAGATCACAAGACGGCGCGTCCCATATTTGTTTACGAGATGTGGGACGAGTATTTTCGTCAAGTCGATGGTATAATATTCTGGTGGGCAACAAAAACTGAATTCATGTGCTTGGATGACCAAGTTCCTATCGTCGTCTTTATTCAAAGTTACTGAAGTCAAAAATTTTGTTTTGATACATCAAAGTGCGCCGTGCAAGTGCACATACCCAATTTTCTATAGCTATACCCTCTACACAAAGGAAATCAATATTCAGTTCCCATTTAGTATTCGTGCTTGTTGATCATTGCGGAATTAAGATATCTTGAACAGGTTGGGGAGTGGGTGAGAGGAGAATGGGGAGAAAAGGTGAGGAAAAAGGGCCGTTTCCGCTTCCCCAATTTGCATGCTGTACAACAAAACATAATCTCACACCACTGTACTCCGTATGCTTGTGAATAGTTGGGGGAAAGGGTTTGGGAGCGGTGGGATAGGAGGAGAATCGAGGGGGAAAAGGGCCGTTTCCCCTCGATGGGTTTTCTAGGAATTATTTGGGGATTCGTTTTGTTGTTATTTGGATCCTGGGTATGAGATGATCAATAGTATTGAAGATAATTTAAAGACTTTTTTTGTTTGGTTTGGCTTCAATCTTTGCAGTCCACAAACATTGAGAATGAATAGATATTGTATGTAGAAACTCCGCACGGAATATAAATTATCATAGGTAGGTACTCCAAATGTCACAATTTCGGCATCAAATCGCATCGGTAAGCCATCCCGTCCCATCCATCCGCTCCCACACATCCCGAACTCCACACATACGGAGTACATAAATATATATCCCACACCACCACTTTCCCACTTGGGAACTTGGGAAGCCTAGTCGCTTAGATCCCGACATCTTCCATGTCCGTAGAATATTCGTTCGTTTGTTCGTTTCCTTTTCCTGTCCCTTCTTTTTCCGGGGGCTGGGATGGTGGATTGGAATGGGGGTTGGAACGGTAATCATGCTTATGCTTATGCTTTGTTTGGGTGTAGAAGTGGAAGTCAAAGTGGATGTGAAAGTGAAAGTGGTACTCGGGACTTGGGACTTGGGACTTGGGGCTTGGGGATATTCAATGTAGCTTCTCGATTTGGGGTGATTAGTTTGGTTTTTGGATATTTACCTTGGGAGATGGGGACGGGGTTTGGAGGTTTGGAGGTTTGGAGGTCTGGTGGGTGATTTGATGATTTGATGATTTAATGGATGGATTGTGTTTCGTTTTTTTTTTGTATGGAGTGGGTGAGGGGGTGAGTGAGTGTTATCTGGCTATTCTATTATTTGATGTTGGTATGGTTTATGTATATATGTATATATATTTATTTGCTTATGTGTGTTTATTTGTGTATATTTATATGTGTTTGTTTGTGTATATTTATTTGTGTGTTTGTATGTGTTCGTGTGTATTTGTGTATATGTGTGCATATATTCGATTGTGAAGTATATTTTGCGGATGGTGTCTGTTGTATCTTGTTTGATATGACTTGTTATTTTTGTGATTTATGGATATGCGTGAGTGTATATATGTATATTTGATTACGGGGTATGGTTCGTGAATAATGTGGTGTAGTGTGGTGTTTGGTTTCTTATTAGGATTGAAATTGTATGGGTTTTCTAGGGGTGAGTTTTGATGATCAGATGATCAGATGATTTGTGTAGATACTACCGGAAACTGGATGGGAGGTATAGAGGGACAGAAATGAACGAAAATGTTGATTATCTTGTTTTCGCATCCTGGGGAATTTTATGAGAAAATGGAAATTTGAGAGAATTGGTTTGTGACATTTAGATTAGACGATGTATATTTTGTTTGCGCATCTAAAAGTACAGATTTGTGTATGGGAGCCAGGGAAGAGATCGCTTTATTATTGTATTGATGTCCTCGCGTGTTCTCTTTCTTTCTTTCTTTCTTTCTTTCTTTCTTTCTTTCTTTCTTTCTTTCTTTCCTTCTTTCTTCTCCTTGTCCTCACTCTCGTCCGTACGCTTCCCTTTTCATTCGTTCAGATCAAAACTCCCTTTTTGCCTCATAAAAACCAAACCCCCAAAATTGAAATCAACACCAACACCAACACCAAAAACAATACTCCTCTCACCCCTAACACCAGCCCCAGCGTCAGACTCAGACCCAGCTTCCTCACTCATGTCTAGACCAAGTCGTATCTAGATATCTAGCTCGGGGCATATATTCTTTCCGTAAATTGTAGCGTGAGTTGGAGTTTCGCTTGCCGAGACGGAGACGGGCTTCCATGTTGTCGAAAGCGGAGTTGCTGGAGGGTGTTAGGAGAGGATGGTTGGGGAGGAAGCAGAGAAGGGGAAGAGGGGGGTACGAAGAAAGTGGAAAATAAAGCTTACTTGAACCATTTCTTCCACAATTTATGATAATAACCACCGCGTCCCTTATGATTGGTCCACAGATTCGATGTAATATGAGAATTGCGACTAAATTGTTTCTTGCGACCATGTGTACCTATTACTTTATCAATATCCTGTCCTTCGTATACACACAAGAGAGAATACTCACATCGAAACTTTTTGCTCTTCCTCCTCTTAGTGAAAACGCTACATTCACTACAATATTTCATATCCTTCGGCATCCATTTTTGCAGCTGTTTGTGCAACATTTTTGAACGAGAAAAACATTCACAGTGATCACCCCAATAATGATCACGACATTTTTTTCTTGTTAGGGGAGGAAGATTTTCCGCGGCGCGGAGAATGTTGATGTAGTGGAGGGAACGATCGTGGCTGTTGATGAATTAGTATTTATTTTGCTTTGTTCTTTCGTCTTCTCGTTTAATAGAGAGGAATGAATGGGAAGAGAAAACTCACCATAGTTGTGCTCCCAATCCACATTTGCGGATGGGAAAGCGCTGTTTGTGAACACCAGGGGAAATATGCGATACTTCAGGTTTCGAGCAGAAGACTTCAGGGGTAGGGGAATAGTCGAGGGAAACTGGGTATTTGGGGGGTGAAAGGGTGTAAAGGTATTTACTTGGTGGGGTGTTAGTTCCTATTTTCGTAGATGCGGGGTGATGGGATGGAATAGGGGGGAAGAGGAGACATACCACGTGAGTCTGAGACAGGTACGGTCGTTTGGAGGACATTGTTCGAGGATTAAACCGTGGATTTCGGCGGGGAAAGAGTGAAAGAGGGTGAAGGTAGACATGGCTATTGAATTGTCGATTTCTTTTGGTTTTGCCTTTGCCTTCTCTGTTCTCTCTCCAATGATTTATCGCAACCCCTATCTCTCGAGGTAAACTCTCTGTATATACGTAGATATAATGTAATATGCGATACAATCTTCTTTCGACTTCTTCAAGCAATATAAACAATCAATTCTAGAATGTAAAACACAAAAACTATTCATACAAATCTTAACATTCATCGTCAAATGCAAGCCGATATCACCATCTATATATCTTCAAACCTATTCCCATCCCATCGCCAAGCTTCACGTTCGAGATCTCATTTCGTCAATTTCAACCAAATGAGCATGGAATGCGAGGCGGATCGATAGGCTGCAGCTCCGCTTTTGCAGGCAGAATTAGGGCACGTGCAATGTAACACGTGAAAGATTGGCACGTGTGGACTTGGCGATTTAGGCAGGAAGGCAGCTTGTGGTCTGTGCAATTGCTGGATACGATGATATCTACGATTTTCGCGAAGATTAGTAATAGAATTCCCTGAAGGAATGTAATGGATGGGAATTATCGTGCTCTTGTAACAGTCGTTAAAAAGAGAAATGGGCATACTAGTTATGGCCATCGCTAAAATTTACACTTCCGAACTTCTTCGTCAATTGGAATTGATGTTTGAGGAACCCCTGAACGATATTTCGTTTTGGAAACATGGTGAGATTTTCGTGGAATTGCTAGACAGTCACATGTCGGTTTACACATTCGATTTGTTCCAGTAGTCTGGATCAAGAGGTCTCGGATTCTTCACGGCTATTGAGACTGATGATCTGATATTGATTTGCATGACGGTGAGCTACCGGGAAGTGTAAGTGGTAGAGGGATGAAATAATCCAGCGAATGGCTAGTACTGCTGTGTCTGTCGGCGTCCTAGGTTAACTTTGCTCTGTCATCGGAGGATAAGAATACAGCAGATAGTTTACTGCTTAGAATGACTCTGTCATGAGTATGTATCAGTTTGACTCGGTATTCAACTAATGTAGAGAATAAATAGACCATTACCTATGTAATTCTGCTTGATCATCTTGCCCTTAATGCCCAGACAAGATCGAGGGGTTGATGCACGGACCAGATCTTTTCGGTTATCTACCCCTATGTTAGAGTGATTATTGTATTTCTATGTTCTCTCTACTGTATCTCTTTGTTAGTAGTTGCAGTTCTAGGATTTTACATTACTTGTGTTTTATCGATGATCATGAATTGGAGAATATGGTGATGCCAAATCGAAAATGCGTCAGCCATCCAACACAAACATTACTCAACTCCATTTTGCACTATTTCTGCATCAACCTTCACTACAGGTATACCATATCATTGCGAGAAGTGAAGCCTCCTATGAGAAACGCCATATCTGTCGTATAGTATTTTACATAGTGTGAGCTTCTTGCTTTCAATCTTCTCTTTGTCATTGTATAAATCAGTTCTTGTCATGAAACAAGTACACAGACATTTAACTCATGAGTAGCTTGAGCTCAATCAACATGTTGATTTTACTCTTAAACAGATACATCAAACGAACTCCTACCCTCTCTATCTACTTTTATGTACTAACTCAGTTCACATCTCACTCACTATTTGCTTTCATCTTCACCCATCAAGTCAAGTCAAAATTGATACATCATTTTTCATCCAAGCAATTCCAAATCAAACTCACTTTTGGCCTCACGAAACTGATATCTCTTTCTTCATTTTTAGTTGCTCAATGTTTGAATTTATGCCTTTCGAGCCTATTTCTGAGTACACAAGCCCTAAGTTCATGACATTACCCCTGTAAATAATCCTCTACAGAGCATTAAGTTTCCAGAAGCCCATACCTTTGCACATTGTAATCGTAAAATAAGATGCTACTCAACTTTATTGATCCAAGCTTTCCTCATACATAGCAACCAGCCTCTTCCTAGCGTAGTTTAAGATCTGGTTAGACTAGCGCATCTTCTCCAAATTATCTTCTTCCTTACAATTCATCCCTCTGATTCCCTCAACTCCGCGTTCTCTTCCTCCTTTCTTTTTTGTATGCGCCAACACCAATTTTCTTCAATTTTGTAGGCTTGCCTACAACTCCATCCCTTCTCCTAATACCTCTTTTGATCTTTAAATTCCCGACATTCTTCTCGATCTTTGACTTTCTTCCACTACCTTCGTTCTACGGTCGAACATATATCTCTTGTAAAACAACCATTTGTGAACATCGCAAGTTAAAGTAAGTCGCACACATATCTCAAGCAATTGACGCGACGTGAGGCGTACTTCTAATCCGTTTATTTGCTTAGAACTTTGTAAACCACCTTTACGACGCGTCTCACGCCTATGACTTCAAGCCAACCACCAGAAGCTTACCAACTACACACTTATCAAGTCTTCAACATGTCTATTGTAAGTCTCAACTATCTATCTCACTAGACCCTCCTCTCTCTCACCTTATCATCCCAAACCTAACACCTCCAGCGCATCATCGATCCATCCGGCGACTTCCACCTCCAAGTCTTCGAAGCAAATTCCTTCACCTCTACCACTTTCCTCGTCTCTCGCAGCACTCTAGAAAACCACTCCACTCACGATCTCACCTCCGACATCCGCAATTCCCCTACCAATTCCCTCACCCTCTACGATGTGAATATCCCCGCTATGGAAACCATCCTCCGAATCCTCCATGGTGTTCTCGATATCAATCACCATCACAGCCACAATACCAACACCCGCGAAAAATTCGATCAAGAAAGCATCGCAACCCTCTACCACATCCTCGATCTCGGCATGAAGTGGTTCAAGACCGAAGAACTCGAACCTTGGTTCTCCAAATTCTGGACAGATCGCAGCGAAAATGAAATGTCCTTGTACGATATGAAAGTCATGTTATACCCATCCTACATCTTCCGACACGCAGAAGCGTTTGCGCGCATTACCAAATCTCTTGTTTTTGAGTGGAGAAGTGGTGAGATGCATGGTTTGAACCCTCTTACGGGTCGTGCGGAATTTCGCTTCGAGCATAGGATTTTGAGTTAGTGTTATTGTCTCTTCGTTATAGAGGATATCAGCTAATTTGAGTGACGACAGAGCAACTCGTTCGTCTCAAGACCAGAATTCTCGAGCGCGAAGTTACTAATGACCTACTCGATCCACTGGATCATCTCTGCAACGACTTCTGCGAGGCAGGTGGTAACTGCATGGTAGCGTATAACAAATCATTGAGAGACTGCCTCGTCATTCCATCCATCGTTCGTAGAAACTGCTCAATCAGAGATATACTCGAGAGTGAAGGAGTAAACTTCTGGAATTGTGCCAGTCCACCGCACGCTTCTGAGCACTGTTCAAATATCCTATCCGGCAAACATGTTGTGAAGATCAAGAAAAATGCATTGAACTTCTGGGAGGGAATGTGTATCGAATGCGTCTTACGTACTTCGGGTGGACACATCAATCAAGAACAATTCTGGGAAGACGGTCGACGCAAACGCTACGGAACCTCTTGTCCCATTCCCCACAATTATCAGACGTGGAATTATAGTTACATGGGCCCGTTTGAGCTAATGTCAAAACACATAGCTGAACAAAAAGAACGCGAGAAGAATAAAGAACGCACTAGGCATGGGATGAAGTTTTCCGCTAAGTCGAGATTTCCTTATGCTTCAGATTCACCCAAACGATCTCGCAGACGTTCTTCTGTCAGCTTTTCCACTCCAGATGAATATGCCATCCAACAACAACAGAAGATTGCGGAATTGACTGCCAAAAACGGGGCTGCGAAGATGAAAAATGCTGAAGCATCAACTGATTCCAGCAGACTAAGAACTCAAGATACAACGCGCTCATTCAACACCAGTTCCCCCAAAACCCCATCTCGAAAGGCTCTCCCTGCCAAATTTGCAACTTCTGATGAAACTGCTCGTCTTCAACAAAACAAAATTGCGGAGTGGACCGCCAGAAATCTAGCCAACCAAGCTCGAATCAGAGGGGCGGAAGAAGAGGCCAAGGCAGAAACTGAAGCCGAAGCTGCTGCTGGCTATACAGATGCCTACTTTGCGGCTCTGGAATTCTACAACGACGATCATGACAACACCTTCGTCCCAGTCAATACCCCTCCTCCACCCGCCGCCAAGAAAGACCTCATCAACAACAACCACACCATCTACACTATTCCTACCCCCATGCCCAAACCATCTCCAACCACCACCCCCAAAGACCCAAACCAGTCCTTCCAATTCCCCCCAAAAATGCACGCCTTCAACTCCATTCCCGTGAACAAAGCGGCTCCCAAGAACGACTGGATTGCACAACGCTTGGCATTCTACAACAGTAACCGAGAAGGTGCACTAGCTCATCAACGCATGGTAAATGGAGAGACCGCTATGGATCTCGATGCTTCGGACGAGGAGTTGTAATTGGTAGACTTCAGCATGCATCTATTCCTCTTATTTCGGGTATTAGGTAACAGGATCATGTCTGTGCTTTATTCTGCCACAAAGACTTTCGCTTAAAGGGCTTCTGTGGTGGAAAAGCTTGGTTACTGGTCTCTTTCGGTGTTGGTTTGTAAATTTCAGCTCTTACAGAGGAGATTAGTATCAAACTTGTACTACAAGAATTCGTTTTATCAGCCTTGCTGTTTAACACCGGTATATTGGTTGAGTAGTAATTAGCTATATAACAAGGAATTCGCTCCCTCGCCATGTGCATCTGATACCCATGGTTAGCTGTGAATCTTATAGCTAATCTGACCTACGAGAATCACGAACTTTTTAAGATTGTATTAACTCATTATAAGAATTAAAATTTGGCTAACCCCCACCTGCAATGAATTTTTTGATAAAAATGTAGTCTTCTCACTGTTCTAGTTCTAGCTACATAGACCTTCGGCCATTTCGCTCAAAATAAAATCTTTACCATCTCCGGTATCTTGAATCATAGCATCAATGTATCTGCTCATCCCAGCCTGCGTTTCAAATGAGTGCGAAGATTTGGGTCCTTCTCTCCTCATTACACTGACCCACCTAGCTCCACAAAATATTTAGCCTCTTCCATCCCACAACCTTATCCTCTTCTGGCTCCGGATTGTCGTTCGCGATATCAATAAACTTTTGAATTGGAATATCAGACAATGGAATAATCCCAGTACCCTGCCTGTATTTATAGCCGAAATATAGAATGAGAATAAGGGGAATGTTGATGTTAGATGAAACGAAAGTTTCCGTGTCCCAACTAGATAGAAAAAATACATTAGTCATAGTCTTATGTATGGTAATAAGTACGAAATCTGGTAAAGACTTACTGATCCTTGATAAAGACAGAGTAGCCACCTGTCAAGAGAAGGATACTAAACGAGATCAATGCTATCCATGCAGCGTATGGTTGAAATGGTCCTTTCCATGGCAATGTTGATCGAGAAATTCCTTGCTTTCTACATCCATAATAAAACCTTAGATATACACCGCAAATAATCATCCAATTGACAAGAGCAGCAACTGCAACAAAGTCCTGAAGCCAATTAAAAACAATACTTGCAGAGCTCGAAAGTGTCAGAAACCCGAGGCAAATGAAAAGACTGAGGAACCCAATGGCAATGTATGGTACATCAAAGCGATTAGTTTGGAGAAAGACTTTTGGTGAATGTCCATGTCGACCAAGCCCATATAACATTCTAGATCCACCAAGCATAGCTACAAAATTTAGTTGAGGGTTTTCTATCCCAAAGGAAAACTAACCTGCATTACCAGCACTCCAAGCACTAGTCAAAACAACGGCATTGATGATTGAAGGAACAACTTTAATTCCTGCATTATTGGCTGCGATAACGAAAGGTGACTGGGCTGCTGTTCCTGTCGATCGCAAGAGCTCTTTATCATTCGATGGTACAATCATGCCGATCATGAATATCGAAAGTACTATGGATTGAATCAACAATTGACGCCAAAAGTCAGGGAGGGGTCAGTTCATACCGTAAAATAACATCACTCGGAAGAAGATTCTTTTCGCAGCGATGGGAATATTCCTTCGAGGTGACTGCGTTTCTGCAGCTGCAAGTGAGAAGTTTTCGACGCCCGAATAGGCATACACTGCGTTCGAAAATGTGGTCCAGAAGCCCATGAAATGACCCAAAGCGCCAGTATACCCTAGGTAGTCAACAAACGGCCCCGGATTGCGCCAATATCGGAACCCATATGTTTCACCATTCGGTCCTCCACCACAAGTGATGATCAGTGCCTAAGAAGAATTAGTAAGAGCCTTTGAGACTGACATATAGATGCACCATTATGTTCAATCCCACTATGAGCATTATCTTTAATATCGCACATGTAAATTCAAGCTCCCCATATACCCGCACAAAAAGGAGATTACTTATGACCAACAGAAATCCGAAGCAGATAATCCAGACGGCATTGTTAATTTGTACCCAGAACTGGATTAAAACGGCCGCCGCAACGAGTTCGGCGGGTATCGTGATAATATTGCTGTAAACTTGGTTCCAGCCATTCGCGAATGAGAGAGCGGGATCGACGAAATATTCGGCATGACGTATGATACCCCCGCTTAAAGGAACAAGAGCACTACGATGGTCAATATCAGCAAGAATCCTTTGAATTTGAGACTCTACACGGAGACGCACCTCAATTCAGCTATGGAAAGAACCACGCCAGATACAAGTATCCCTACAAGAGTATATCCGAGTCTACTGGGTAAGTATGGGCCGGATATCATCTATTCAATAGAGACTTACAATGCTCCTAGTGGACCTGCTCTGGCAATAGCTTTCCCTGAACCCAAGAAAAGACCCTAGAAAATTAGTGTCCGTCAAGTGCAGCTGCAGCGTGTCATGATTCTTACCGTCCCGATTGTTCCAGCCAAAGCAATCATTTGAATGTGCCTCTGAGCTAAACCTCGTCTGCGAAACGAGATTAGCTAAATGTTTGTGGAAACTGGATATTTATTTATCGTTACCTCAATTCCTTAACTTCAGCAAACTCCTTTGGTTCACCATCTTGAGACTCCGGCGATGCTCCATTAACTGGGTGGATTAAGGGTTCATCGCTGGGAGTATTGATTTGCCGATTCGTTGCAATGTCGTTTGAAGACATTTTGACAAATGGTAACTTTCTTGGGCGTTTGATTCAACAGTCATCCAAATATGAACCTTTGGCTGGACAGTGGACACGTTTTCAATGTAAATCGAGAAAATTGGTGAGATGAAGGAATTTCATGATTCTCTTTTTTACAAAGAGGAAGTGGAAGGTAAAAGGTAAAAGGATTCCGATAAGAAGTTGTACCTGCTGATTTTGCCTATGTATCTCTCCGACTCTTCCCACTGGGAAAGAACGATTTGAGTTTGACATGTCTTGGATAACCGTATCTTATCTCCGCACCTACAGGCTCATATCTTTTTGTGTATCGTGAGTTAGCTCTTGTGACCTCTTTTTCTTTCACGCGTCTCATACCAATTGCACATCACGGTCGTATCGTTGAGCGACAGTATTCTCGTCTGGAGGGATTTCATGACAGAATACTACATACGAAGCAACAAACATTGCAGAGTCTGAATCTGGAAAGTATAACAAGAAACGACCACAAGTAGAGGCTTAACATCGTAGTGTGTAACACATCTTGACGATTACAAAGTTCCATAGAATCAATTCTTTGTACTCTGGTCATACAAGATTACGATAGTTCTTGCGGGTTTGGTTGAAGGTTGTGACGTACGCTAATACCAAATCGGGTTAGGGTGGTTACCCCTGAAATCAGTGCTTCATCAAAGAAATTCGAGAATGTGAATTGCTACAAGTTAGGGCATCGTAGAAATACAGCACATGTTTGTTGACGAGCATGAAGTTATCAAAAATCACCGCTATTAGGACAAATCCTCTGAAAAGGCCATCAAACAGAGAATAGTCATGTGTTTGTCGTTTGTTCTATCCAATGACACAGCTATCTATACCAGAATAGCGACCGAGACATGGTAGTGCCGTTGCTTTGGTATTCCTTCGAATCTTGCTTCATCCTGTTATCTTTTCCTATGGAAGGATTAGATGCAAACAGAGGACGACGATATCAAGCCTGTGTTGTTATGATGGACAAAGTCACTCAACTCGGCGGCACGGAGATACCGTTCTTCAGTCATTCACTGCCATTGCAGTCTTCTTTTAATAAAAAAAGCTTTTAAGATCGTGCAATAAGCACCCTGTGAGCTGCTACAAGATTTAATCTGTCTACTCTCTATTTTGAGTTTGATTGCATTTTCTATAAATACTGCTGTTTATTCCTCACACGACCCCGGACTGTTTCCTTCTTGAGTATTTTAAGGACCTTCTCACATGTAAGGTGACTCCGCTCGCAGTAATTTTCTCTATCAGAAAAATCTACAGCTGACCTTCAAAGAACATCGTTATGGCGAATCCACGAATCTTTCACAATTTCCCAACTCCTGCCAAGGATTCCACGGAGCCTTTCTGGCATTATGAAAAGCATCATCTTCATGATCATAGAAGTACTGATATTCTGCCAGTCAGTGAAATTATCGATGTCGTTATTATTGGTGCAGGCTATGCCGGAGTAGCCACGGCATATAATCTTGTCAAGAATGACACTACGTCCAATTGCCCTAAGCTATCTGTCATGATTCTTGACGCAAGATCTGTCTGTTCTGGTGTTACTGGAAGAAATGGTAAATTCAACTATTCTTTCCGGTTAGCAATAGCATACTGAGAATTTCTAGGTGGGCATCTCAGACCAGATCTTTACGGTCACATCCCAAAATACATCAATAGAGCAGGTGTGAGTGCCGGTGCTGAGATTGCAGAGTTTGAGATTGCACATGTTCAAGCGTTGAAAGAGCTCATCTTACGCTAGAATATTGACTGTGATTTCTACTTGACCAGAACATGTGATGTATGGAACAATCAAGATGCTGCTGATGAGGCTAAGGCTGTCTATGATCGGTTGCGCCTAAATCCAGAATTATCGTACATGCAAGATGTCCACTTTAGCATTGGTAAAGATGCTGAGACTGTAAGTTCGATCTTGCCCATCTCGGAAATATTACGTGACTAACTAGTCTCAGATCTCCGGTGTTAAAGGCGCAAAAGCGTTTTCGACTTACACTGCTGCCACCTTGTCTCCATACAAACTTATCACCTCTCTCCTTACTTATCACCTCTCTCCTTGCTTCCGCCCTAACTACCGGCTCCGTCAACTTTCAAATAAATACTCCTGTTATTTCAATCAAACAATTAGCTTATGGGTATCACTTGGTCGAAACTCCACGCGGAATTCTTCGAGTCCGGAAGGTCGTCCACGCAAATAATGCCTATGTTTCTGGTGTTCTCCCCGAGTATGCTAAGAACATTATTCCATGCAGAGGTTATGCTGCCATATTAGAGTTCCCAATGATACTACTGCACCTCCTATCAATCACTCGTATATCGTTCGTACTGAGGATGGTATTCTCAACTACCTTGTTCCTAAACCTGATGGAAGTATCATTGTGGGTGGAGCTTCAGCGTTATTTCGTTCTCACAAAGACCAGTGATATAACAATGTAGATGATGGCAACTTAATTGAAGCAACCATGAAAGAGAGGTACTACGAGAATTTTATGCAGCGCACCTTTCGCGGATGGGAAAACTCGGATGCTAAAGTTGAGAGCATCTGGACTGGTGGTAAGCCACTCTGCCCCGCGACCTTTCTTAAACTCAAAAATGCTGACTTGTCATTTAGTAATGGGATATTCCTTCGACTCAAACCCTCATACTGGTCTCGTTCCACAAAAGTCCGACCAATTTATCATCGCAGGATTTAATGGCCATGGTATGCCTGTCATTTGGCTTGCGGCAAAGGGACTGGCAGAGATGTTGAGAACGGGAAAGCCCTTTGAAGAAGTTAGTGTTCCTATGCCTCCTCCTAGATTGTTCAAGACAACACAAGACAGAATTGATAGAGCTCAAGATGGTCCAGAGGGCGGCTATATTCTTAATCAAGAAGACGATTATGAGATAAACTTCTGCGCATGGAATTATAAAGCTGAGTAGACAGCGTTGAGTTCAACTTACCTCAGTACTCCAAAACATTATCCTGCAATTGAACAGATCTTTGTTGTCAAGTTTTGTTCTTCTAGTGTTCTATCGTTGTCACTTTTATTGATGCTCTGTACGTAGCGAAAGAGATGTCGAGCCACAGATATGCAGGACCTGCTATTTATTATGATCTCAGCGCCACGAGCTTTTTACCCATTAAAAGTTTAAGAATCCCAGCTGTAGCCACAAGAATTTTTCTTGAGTTCAAGGTTGTCTACAGACAAGAGAATTACTCAATCATTCAGCTTATATTGGTCGTGTTCGTATCACAGGCTATAAGCTCATTGCAACGTCGTAATGATTTGATTGGACATTCTCCACTGACTTCTTCGCTAAAGTTTCCGACAGAATGGAAATTAACGCTTGACTCGCAGCCAAACATCAAACAAGTATCTTGGATCCCAGGATCTCTACCAACCAAATACTTAGCCTAAATTCACCAGAAACCATTGCATCTATTTACTGAAGTTTTATAATTGATTTTATTCTAGAGCTATTTACCCAGAACAAAAGAGAAGATCAGCACAAGACGCATGCATGTCATTATCAATGCGGCAAGGTGTTCTTGCATACCCGGCCGCGATTTTATAATGACTCGTTACAACAAACAAGCCAATCATTGAAAGACTTCACTACCTCTGCATAATTTTGTAGCCGCCAGTGAGTTTTCAGAATGGTGCTACCTGCAGATAAACCACGGCTCGGAGTGTTAACCTCCTTCTTAATTTTCTGGGAACTACTTACAACAACTTCTAACAACTACAACAAATACAATATTAACAGGATGGATCACCATGAAAAAGCAGTGAAGGCTGTCGCAGCCTCAGTTCGAGCCTTCTTTGCTCGAAAAGAATCGTTCAGAATCTACCACGGATCGACAAACAGCACGAGACCAAAGCATCAAAATCGCCTTGTTGATATTAGCAGCCTCAACAATGTGTTGAACATTGACTCAATAGCCCGCACAGCACTCGTTGAACCGAACGTTCCCATGGATCGGTTTATCGAAGCGACTTTAAAACATGGTCTCATACCGCCAGTAGTAATGGAATTCCCTGGCATCACTGTCGGTGGGGGCTACGCGGGATCTGCTGGAGAGAGTAGCTCATTTAAACACGGATATTTTGACCAAACCATTAATTCCGTCGAAATGGTACTGGCAAATGGAGAAGTTATCAAAACATCTCGTTCCCAAAATGCAGATCTGTTCAAAGGAGCTGCTGGTGCAATGGGCACTTTGGGAATAGCCACATTGATCGAATTGCAGCTCATTCCTGCCAAGAGATTTGTCCAGTTGACTTATGAGCGAAAATCCTCGGTTCATGAGACAATTGAGGGAGTAAAGAAAGAGATCGGAAATTCCACCAATGACTATGTTGATGGTATCTTGTTCTCCAAAGATTTTGGCGTAGTAATGACTGGGAAATTAACAGATGATAAGCCAGCTACTATGAAAGAGCAATCTTTCAGTCATGCTAGAGACCCCTGGTTTCATCTACATATCCAAGAGCGAATGAATAGCGAATCCCAGAAGTCTTGCGTTGACTACATACCATTGGGCGAATATCTATTCCGGTGGGACAGAGGTGGGTTCTGGATGGGTCATCAAGCATTTCAGTACTTTCCGTTTGTTCCATTCAATCGATGGTCTCGATGGTTCCTAGACGATTTTATGCACACCCGAATGCTTTATCGTGCTCTACATGGTACTGGCCACTCATTCGAGCATATCGTGCAGGACCTTTCACTTCCCTATTCCACAGCGGAGGAATTCATTGACTACTCAGCAGCTGAGCTAAACATATGGCCTTTGTGGCTATGTCCTTTACGAGAGATACAAGCTCCAACATTTCATCCCTCAACTACATTACCGGGTTCAAGTAACGATGCAAAACCGATGCTCAACATTGGTCTCTGGGGTCCAGGATCTAAGAATCGAGGTGAATTCTTCCGACAAAATCGTCAATTGGAGAAGAAACTTGCGGATTTGGGGGGCTTCAAAGTTCTGTACTCTCACACCTATTATACGGAGACCGAATTCTGGGAGCTATATGACAGGAAGTGGTACGAAAACTTGCGGTCAAAGTACTCGGCTACATCTTTGCCTACTGTTTACGACAAAGTGAAGGTAGATATGTCAAAGTTTTCGGGGGTCAAGTTATCTTGGTATGAGTGGATAATGAAACTATGGCCGGTAGCCGGATTGGTGGGGATCAGGTCTGCGATACGTAGTAGAGACTACTTGTTGCATAGGAAGCCACTATGGAGAGAAAGGATGACCATTCAAAAGCCTTGATGAAATTAGATTATTCTTCCCTCTCATCTAGTTTGGCCATCGTCTACTTCAACTTTACACTATACGATCTTTCTTTGTCCTGTCATGTCTCAACCTTTGAGGTCAAGAAATACATTCCATCCACAAATTGTAATGAACCGAGAACGAGGCTTTCAGAGTATTTTTTGAGAGGAAGAAGCTTCTCGTTCAAAGCGTGTGATCTTGATAAGGACTTACTCTCCAGCTTTCGCCTGAGGCTCGCGAAGGAAAATTGATAAGGGGGATGGAGATGTGCCTCTATTTCCTATTCCTGATTGAGCATATAGTCCAATTAGTTTTCCATAAATTAGGCAGCCACATTAATTGAGCCGGCGTGGCTCAATTGTGGCTCTTGTTCTCTACCTAGTAGTCAGCTGAATTCAAGAAATTCATGACAAGAACTTATATTAGCACGATTGAGATGAAATCACACAACCGAAGGAAGATTGCTCAGAACTTGATATCTATATGTTCTTACTATTAACGAAACCTTTTGAAACAATTTCCTGAGACTCTATGCCTTCGTTGCGGCGCTTTGGGTCTTCCTGAAGTGCACATCCCGACTCGACCTCATCTTCAGCCTCATTTGACCATGTAAACAAGGTTCTGCTTCTAATTGAGATGAAAATGGCTCCTTACAAATATAATCAGCTAGGAAGAGAAAATGAAGAGATTAGACTGTTGAGTCTAACGCCAGGCGCACGAGATGACGATATCTCCATGCGCATTTTTCACGTACCCCTAGTCATTCCACCGAGAGAGAATAGTGAAATCAAGAGACTTTCACTTGAACAACTGCAAAGAACTCTTCAAGGTGATATGTATGCTATGAAAACAATCGATGGACGATACATCTTTAAACACCGAAACGGAAATTCAAATTCGTGGGACCATCCAGATCCAAATTTTGATCGTGCTCTTTACGATTTGCCGAAACACGGCAACTTTCCGGAAAATAAACCTAAATATGAAGCTCTTTCATATATCTGGGGGTCTACCGAGAATCCAATCACAGCACATGTGTTGGGCGAAACTTTGTCAACGATACAAATCGGGGCTTCTCTTGCTGTTGCACTTAGACAACTAAGGTACACGGATAAGCCGCGAACATTATGGGTAGACTCTATTTGTATCAATCAAAATGATGTTCCCGAGCGAAGTCACGAAATTGGACGCATGAGAAATATCTTCTCATTTGCGGATCGAACCATCATCTGGCTTGGCGAAGAAGCTGACGATAGTAGAAGCGCTTTAGCTACTATTGAGCATTTCGCCGAACAGGTCGAGTACATAGGAGGAGGATTAGTTGCATATACTCCTGGAACCAAGTTATTAGAATGGAGGCACTCAAACTTCCATCTGCCATATGACACCAAAACATGGTCATCCATAAGAGCTCTCTTCCGGAGGCCTTGGTTTAGTCGAGTCTGGGTTTTACAGGAAGCTTTACTTGGCGATCAGGGATCGTCGGTACAGTGCGGTAATACTTCTATTCCTTTCACTGCTCTTAGAAAAGCAATGTTGGTACTCGGAAGAAAGGTTACGACACCAAGCGACATACGTTCTCAATTATTGTCATACTCGCCAGGCGTCCTGCCAGATTTTATGAGAGAGTTACCCGAGCTTCTGAGATGGGCTAAGCATCGCAACTGCAGCGACCCCCGTGACAAAATATATGGAGTGTTGGGTTTAGTGTCGCCTTCGATTGCCGACGGAATAACGTGCGACTATTCTATTCCTGTGGCAGAAGTGTATAAGAGTGCGGTACTAAGTCATGTCACTGTCACAAAGAGGCTACATCTACTTCAGCACTGTCAGTTGATCCAAAGATTTGAAGACGGGCCATCATGGGTTCCAAATTGGTCTTTCGAAGATAAGAGTATAATGATAGGCATTGTCCTGGGAAGATATGCAGCAAGCTCTTCTTCTGCTGTGACACTGTATCAAGCGCCGAATACTTTGGAAGTCAGCGGTGTTTTTTCCACAAGAGTGACTTCAATTAACACTAAATGTTCAGGTGATGCAAGGGAAACTTTCCAAGCAATCCGTAGATGGGAACCTGAGGGTCTCAACTCCAGAGACTATATCGCCGGCGGCTCTTTGATCGATGCATTCCTCGAAACTATCTATCAAGGGCGTACTAAGGAAAGATATCCTGGACTTCGTATTCCACATTCCTGGGAGCTCCGCCGAAGCTATTTAAAAGCTGTTGATAAAGATAATAAAGACCAAGATGCGATACTAAATTATGTTTATGGATTGAACTTTGGTCCCACGGCATTCATAACAACAGAAGAAGGATATATGGGGATAGGACCACATGGAGTTGAGGAAGGTAAGGCTTGATTCACCAGCTCAACACCTCTTCGCAAGAGCTGACAGTACAAGGTGACTATGTGTGTGTACTATTGGGAACCGAACTTCCGATGATCCTACGCCCAACACCATCTGGAGACTTTCTGATTGTAGGATCCTACTTTATTCATGGTTTAATGGATGGAGAAGCTCTACTTGGTCCTATACCGAGTCCATGGAAAATCGAACTATACCGAAGGAAAGATTCAGGATACTCAACTCACTTTGTCAAACCGAACGAAAAAACGCTTGATGATCCACGTCTCCCCCTCTACCTTCTGAATGGGTAGAAGTTAATAGAGATGACGGTCCGTGGCCTATCGGCAAATCCTTCTTCAAAAATGTTGTGACAGGCGAGACGATGGATTCTGATCCTAGGATGCTTCCACAGGCATTGATGAAAGGAGGTGTAAAACTGCAGAAATTCAGGCTCATATAATTTTCCTAGAAAGCAAGCTTCAGCTGAGGATAGCACGAGCGCCACTAGTGAGTTTTATTCAATGACTCTTTATGGGTTATTGTTCTCGTAAATTTGATCCCTGATGGCAACACCTTGAATACTAACAAGTATACAAGACATTCCCCATGTCTAACTGTGATCTGGTTTATCATTGCACCACTAAGATCACTTCCACCAGCCAATAACTAGCCAAATCAATAACTTTTAGGCATTTAATATTCAGAGATGTGAACTCCTTTGCATTGCGTATAGTTAATCGGAGAAAATGCAAAACAGCAGTACTCTTTAACTCTACTCACACAGTATATACGGTCTAAAGAAGAATAAGCTTACACCCACTTCGCCCATGCTAATGATCTGACCTATCATATCTTGTATGAAGACACCGTGGAGTAGCCAGCATTTACCCCGCAGAAGCTCTTGATCTTCTAGAGAAGTGAATGATCTCGTTGAATGCAATCAAGATTATCATGCCATGGATATATTCAATATTCGTTTTCACGCGATTCTTTACCATCGCTAGACGGAATGGAACGATTCGGTGTACATTTATTCCTGGACCAATCCAAACACGGTGGTGATTCCATATGGTGCTCGAAAAGCTTAGCTTCGGCTGTATTTTGAATATCTGGCTAAAAGCTTTCAGATTTCCCAAGCATCCTTCATCTTTTCATAATTCCCAGAATAACTTCTACACTTCCACAAGCATTCGACTGCAACTTCTCTCTGAACAAGACAAACACATTCAACTCTATATCCACACGAACATCGCAAACATGGATATCGAAAAGGTTTCATTCAGCTCAGCCAGTAGTATTACTGATGTCGAGGCAGTGCCAATTCCTGTAGTCGCTCGTCAATCCTATTTCAAGCGACTTGTTTTACGCCTATTTCCAAATGCTTTAAGTGGTTCTGGTAAGAGCAATTGTTTTAGTTTACATGACAATGGCTCGTCACAATCTCTCGCAAATAAGCTGTTCACCTTGAAAGCCGCCCAAGAGAAGGCATCAGCGGCCACCCCTAGGAGGATTGTCTTCCAGATGTTCGAGTATGTAGAGCTTTCACTTTAAGAATGAATGTAACTAACAGCAACCATAGTGCTCCGGGCAAGCTTCCTCTATCGGGCCATTATGCAATTCAGACAAAGGGCGAAGCATATTTTTTGATCAGAAAGGAATTGGTTCTTCGAAGATCGAGACCGCTATTTGACAAGGTATTTGGCAAGGGTTCATTGAAGGATTGCAATGCATTTCCCGCAGCAATCCTGCCCGACTTCGATAACGATGCTTTGGGGGTATTTGTCGAGTGGACTTACGATCGCGGCATTAGAACAATGCAATCTGATGACACGTTCGAGGAAGAAGTCTCTCCACGTCAGAAGAGTCTTAATATGATAGATTTCTTCATGGAGATCCTTTTATTTGCCGACAGATACTCACTCGATGAATTTCAAGATGACTTCCTCGAATTATTCATGCAGTCATTGAAAAAGGATCGTTCACCACTGGATATAGTCCATGTTCGCCGGTTTCACGAGCGAGTATCGCAAGATTCAAAGATCCGTGTCTTCTTGGTTGATTTGATTGCTTTCATCATCCAAGAAATCGATGCTGCAGGAAAATTGAAGGAAAAAAGTGCAGCGTTGAACTGTGACCTTTCTAACAACAAGAGAGAAATCCTTGTTGAGCTACTTCACTTGCTTGGAGGTGGCAAGATTCGACCTCCACATGGAAAGTTTTCTGACCCCCGGGATGCTCCAAGTTGTGTTTACCACCACCACGGCAGTAGAGAAAAGTGCCCCCAAATAATCCTTGCTTGCTCTTTTATCTCCGAGTGTTTCAATTGAAAAAGCATATAATCGAGGGATGGAGCTATGATGCGGTTGACATGGTTGGCGGGATAATGGGATAATGGGAGCAAGGGATACGGAAACAGGGATATCTGATCATTGTATGAGGGTTCATTTTTGCAATTGTTTTCAGGCATATATCAGCATGTGCTACATCTAGGAGAATGAAGGCTTCCTGGAAAGGAACTACTTCTAGAGCAATGAAATACCAATAATCTAGTTTGCAGGTCCAAATGAGTGATGAACAATGCGTGAACTTTGCTGTGCTTCTTGATGTTCATGTCCCTCTCCCAGTGCATCGAACCTTACCACAATATCAATACCTACATGATGTGTATGTATGAAGATGAACCCACAAATGTTCGATTCGAGCCCGTCCCTCGTACATGCTCATCAGTCTGTGTGAGATTCTTCTTGGCCTACATCAAACTTATCTAGACAGACAATCTTTGGATTCGATCACCATTTGCGTCCCCTATCAACCTACCTCGTACGTCGAACTCAACTAGGTAGGCAATCTCTGGATTCGACTATCATTAGCATTTCTCCTCTACACATCAAATTTAGGTAGACAGACTGAGAATCTCAATCTCCAGTACATTTCTTCTCTGTCTCATGAACTTCCTCCTACCCATAACTTACCCCAAACTACTTACATCACACGATACAAAGTCTTCACAACATCCAGACACAAATACAATAAACAAAAACCACAAGAACCAACTTTGCTGCACGTCGCATCGCACAGTTTCTGAAATGCCCTTCCCCTATCCTAGATATTTGGACCTTCTCATTTCCCCACCATTTTCCCAATCACCTATCATCACCCCCACCCGGTTACCCCCCTCAATTTTCACACCTTCCTATCAAAACCTCAAACCACGTGTACTCACGTGCAGACCATCTCAACATAACCTTTTGTTGCACGTCTAGAAAAGTGACAAATTGGTCCAAACGTCCACACTCCTTAAACCGATCAATTTCTCAAACCATGCATTTTACTTCATCTACCCATAGCTGGGTAACCCTCTTTACACACCACCGCTGCTTTCAAGATCCTCATTCATTCTCACTTGATGCATACCTCCTCAACGCAAATACTGAATCTTTTAGCCACCTCGCTCTAACATTGACTTGAACTCTACCTCTCCAATCAGGACTCGGGTCTCACAAATTAACATCTCATTCTCGATTCTAAATTCAATCTCAATCTCAATCTCAACCTTACCCTGGACCTCAACGTCACCATATTTCTTTTCCGCTATCAGCATACTTTACACCCCCAAACTCTGAAGGAATCCTCAAACTGACAATTCTCTCAAACCTTCTCCTAGCTACCTTTTCTATCTCTATACCAGTGATTTAGACTACGGTGATAAAGAGGATTAGCATTAGCATTAGCATTAGCATTAGCATCCAAACTAACATCTTCTAAACCTTCTGACTCGCCTTATCACATACAAACACCGCTTTGGCACCACTGAACTTCCTCTCTCTCCTCTTCCTCTCTCACTCTCTCGCAACTTACTTCTGCCAGCTAATAACACAATCCAATCCACACTCCCTCATTCGCCAAATCAGACGCCCCAGTCCATAAACCATGACTACTACCCACCAAAAGTATAATCACCCCCTTAAATCCCTAATCATCAACATCTCTACATCCAAACCAACCTCACCCTCATCCACATCTCCATTCATCCTGTTCCCAACCTTACAACATCCCAACTGAGCTAAGCAAATACGGAGGCTCAATCTCCATCAACCATCCCTCCATATCTCACCGCATCACATCACCACCACACCTCACCTCTCCCTCCCTCCCATACAAGTACCTCCTCTTCTCCAGCACACCGCTGCCTCAGCTACCAACTTCACCACCCCCTCCATTCCCATTCCCTCCATTCCCACCCCCTCCACCCAAATTCAATCCAACTAATCCAACTAACCCAAATCCAAATTCCCATCTTCCAACATCAACATCACATCCCACAACACCACAACATCACAACATCACAACATCACAACATCACAACACCAAATCAATTCATACCATACCATACCATACCTACTCACTCACTCCCTCCCTCCCCATCAACAATCCCACCAACAAAATCCACAAATCCAATCCAATCCAATCCAATCCAATCCAACCGTCTATATATCAAATACCAAGCAGCACTTGAACTCAAATCTACACTTTACTTCACCCCATCGATTTATCTATCTATCTACCTTTAGTCATTTCATCCCTTCAGCTTCTAGAGTTAGTCATCAATCATACCCCCCTTTTCACACCACACACCACACAACACATCTCTAATCTCAAACCTCAAACTTCAATTCAACCCACAAACCTCACCATGCACAATACAAACGTCATCACACATACATCACACACAACACACCTCAATTCAATTCATCTTCATTTTGATTATTCATTCCATTCCATTCCATTACAAAGCAAAAGTTAGGTAGGTAGGTAGGTAGTTACGTACGTACTTAAATGAGATCAGGCCTTCCCTTGCCCTACTCAACTAAGTTCAAGATAAAAAAAAAAAGAAAAAGAAAACCACGCGCAAAAAAGAACAGATCAAAGTAAAGTCAAAATAATAAAAAAGGAAAAAAACAACTAAAGAAGTCTCTCGAGCTATCGTAATAAATACAGAGTATTGATCCACCCCCAGAAGGTTTTTTTGGATGAAGAAACGCGGGTAGACTTTTATCTGAAGCCATATGAAAATAAGAAACTTATAGTAGGAACCAATCTCTCTGTAAGCATGATGGTCTTTCGTCTTGTGTCTTGCATTTATATCCTCTTCCCTTTCGGTCATTCTCATGTGCAAAAAAAAAACTCCTCGAAATACCACTCATTCTTGAATGCAAGACCTCCATTATGGCATTTATGACCTTTGCCTCGCAGAAGCAATGCCGCGCCCGAAATATCACCCTTCACCCCATCGCTCGCTTCTTCAACTGCCAAATATTAAGGATCAATGATTAAAGAGACATGAATTGAAAAGTAAAGTATCGGTTGTGTCGTGTCGGTACCATCATTAAAAGGCAGGTCCTGGTTATTGAAAGTAGTTCACCCCTTAACGGAGTGAAAATCCCTTCCTCTTGCCTTCCTTCTCTATTGGTCTTCCGCTCTCGACTCTGGATTTCTTCTCCTCCAATTCTTGACGTTGACGCTCGAGTTGTTCCTTCATCTCGCGATGTCGTGCGTACAACTCTTCTTCGCTTTGCTTCAGCTTGCTCTCCTTCTCTGCGACCTTTTGTTGGAAAACCATCTTCATCTCGGCCTCCATCTTGGCAAGCTTTTGCTCGTGCAATTGACGCTCTTCTTCTTGCTTGACAGCTGGGTTGACCTCCTTGAAGACATTTGGATCTTGAGTAACACCCATAGCAGTAAGCTTCTCCGATCTGTAGTTCTCGTACAAAGCATTGTTGGTATGCTCCTTAAGCTCCTCCATGTGGGTTCGGATAAGCATTTGTCTGAGCTTGACGAAATCGCAATGCTCCTCATTGTCAACTTCAATGGTACCCCATGGGTATTTACGTCCGCGAACTTTACGTCCCTCGCTATTTGTAATCTCGGAATTGGCACCAACAACTGCGAAAGGTACTTTGTCCATAATCTCCTTGTTCTCAGCAATTGTCTCCTCGTCATCTTTTTCGTAATGTGGGCCCTCGAAGATTTGGATATCGTGGTGCTTGATGTCAGCAAGGATCTAGAGCATGATTAGCGTGAGTTTTCAGATATGCAATCGAAACCCTTACTCTGAACTTGAAGGCGACAATTTCTTCATCAGTCAATGTATCAGCCTTAGCAATAACTGGGATCAAGTTGACCTTGGTATGAAGTCTACGCATAACTTCAATGTCCAAAGGCTTCAACGCATGGCCAGTTGGCTGAATGAAGTATACACAAGCATGAACACGGTTATCAACAATGTTCATTCTGTTGACCTTGTTCTCAGCATCCAAATAAGCATCGAAGCGTTGTTCAATGTTATCAACAATTGGTCTCCAAGACTCATCATTGTTGACGAAATCACCGAAACCTGGGGTATCAACGACAGTCAAACGTAAACGAACACCATTCTCCTCAATATCAGCGCTAATAGATTGGATAGAAACGGTTTTTGGGATAATATCGAGGGAAGGTCCCTTGCGTTCTCTTGGTGGATATAAGGAAGTGTTGAAAAGAGTGTTGACCAAAGTCGACTTTCCGAGTCCAGACTCACCTATTCAGGAGTTAGCATATATCAAATATTGATTCATGAAAGCTGCACACATACCAACAACCATAACATTGAAGTTGAAACCCTTTCTGACACTCTTGCGGTGCCATTGATTTGGTAAATTTGCAAATCCAACATATCCGGTCAACTTTCTTCGAACAATGTTCTTCATATCGCTTGCTTGTTGAGCTGCGATCTTTGGATCTGTTGAGCTGACGGTCATTGGAATTTCTAATGGGGATGATGGTGCTCCATTGGGAATTGGAGAGGATCGGGTAGGGGCCATTGGGGCTCCGTTAGTAGCTGTATAGAGAGGTAAAATGTCAGCCCAGTCATTTGAAGTAGTACTATAGTTTTTAGAAGCCTGTTGTAGCTTCTCTACGACCCATGACTCCATTGACTCATGGTGGTCCATGGAAATTTGTTCCAAACTCGGAGCTTCTTCCACATCCAGCATGCTTCTAAATTGAGCGCGAACACGTTCTGCTCCTCGCTGATGGCGATGCAAGCTTCCAGGATATTGACGCTGCTCGATACTATCTAACGATTGCTTAGGCAATGAGGTACCTTTCGACAGGCTCTCTGATCGAATTACAGACCATTCCTTATCTTCAGTTTGGGATCCAGGGGGTGGAGCAGAAGATTTCTTGGAGATGATAAGATTCCAGTGACCACTTGCATTTGGCTTCATGGCTGGCATATCTTGATGATGAAACATCTTGTGGCGGATTACAGATGGCTTCCCAACTCGATGAATTGGATTTCGAAATGTGCCAAGTTATCAGACTCGAGATTTGAAGCTCTGGAGTTGCAACAATTGTGTGTTCGAAATAATTGTCGGGGTGATAGATGGTGAAGTGCGAATTCGCAGGATTGAGATCCTACCAATCGTCGATGGAGTTGTTGACAATCTGATGATGCCATTTCTCCCCAGAATATTGACTGCCTCAAAAATGAAATAAATTGCTTACCCATTGTTATGATTGATGTAGAAGGATCGAAGGTGGTTGTTTTCGTGAAGAAAGAAGGTGGGAGGTTGTAAACTCTGTTGGCACAACAAGATGGGGGAAATCAGCTTCTATGAACCCTAAGATGGTCGCAGACAAGGTAGTTGAGATGGAAGAGATCAAAATCAATGGACAACTCTCGGAAATCCCACAAGGTAACTTTTGAAGGTATTTTGAAGGATCGAGGGTTTGATTCGATGGGATGATGTCCAAATCATGCAGGAATACGAATAATAGCACGTACCAGATATTAATTCTTTGATCCTCAACACGTATTGGTTCGCGTGGTCTTTTATTGCGGATCAAGATATGGATAGATAAAATTGGCCAAGTAATTGTGTTTACTCGGGAAGTGAAGTGTTGAAAGTTACGATAGCGACGAGTCAAGTAAATGGAAGATTGAAGAAAATAGAAGAAAAAGTTGGGAGTGTAAACGATTGTCGATTGTAGTGTGTGGTGTGTGGTGTGTGGTGTGTAGTGAGTGAATGCAAAATGTAATGTAATGTAGATGGAGAAGGCGAAAAAAAGTTGTGTGTAGGTGAATAAGGTTGTCAAGGGCGCACCGGTAAATGGTACTACTCTGCTACGAGGTCACTAGTCCAGTCGGTACAGTACAATGATTCCTTGCGGTTGGCGTTTGAATGCTGGCTTGGGTCTGGTGGCTGTCTGGCCGTTGATTACTGGCTTATTCTTGTTTTCTCGTGCTTGCTGTACTGGACAGGTAAAGTCACTCGATAGCAAAAGGGGTTATTTTTTTGGGGCGCTGGGGTTTTGTGGGCTTGGGATCAATCGACTACCCAAGTAAAAGGGTCAAGGCAAAAAAAGCTTTGTTATTAAGATTAACACGCGCTTCTTCTTGGGGGAGTAGGGGAGTAGGGGAGTAGGGGAGTAGGGGTGTAGGGGTGTAGGGGGGTAAGGGGAAACTGGTCATTTCACGTGTATATGATAATGGAAATTGTGAATTGATCAAGTGTGTGGTATCGTGTGTGGTATCGGGTATGGCATCGGGTATGGTATCTCGGTGCGTAAAATCATGTATGGTCGATCAACTTACCTGGCGGATTCAGGGGTATAAATGAAGATATAAATGAAGATATAAATAAAGATATAAGTAAAGATGTCAACATCACGACAGAGGGCGAGTCTGCAACAGTATCTCATTGGGTGATCCTCCAATAATCTAGCAAGTACAAGTACTTCATGTCGTGTATTGATTTGCTACAATCTACTCCTATTTTGGATCTGGATACCTCAACATGAATGAATCTACATTCAACAATTGCTTCTTCTCCCCTTTCCGATCTCTGCCTTCGCTTCTCAACTGTCCCCTTCTTCTTCCATCTCCCCTCCTCCATCTCTCCTCCTCCATCACAATCATCGAAATGTGTTGCTCTCCCCACGAATTATCATTCCCCCAAGCTTGCTCAAGCTTCCTCATTTGTGCTCTGTGCGACCCCCCAATGTAACCAAAAGTCTCCACTGCCGGCGCAGGATTTCTTGGGTCTAGTATCTACACGTGACCATCGGTCCCTGATAATCCCAGATATCCGTCTTGTCCTGACTTGGTAGCCACTAGGCCATATTGGGCAAAGTGTCTCACTTTAGTCAGCTTCCTAGTGCCGTTCCTCTTAGCATCACTATCACTATCAATTTCTGTGTTTCCTCAATTGGTTCACCAACAAACAAAAAGTGGAATCATTCCAAAGCTCTTTGGAGAAGCTTCATGATAGCCGCATCTGTAAGTATCCAAAAATATCTACTTGGTGGAGAAGATGGGAAGCGAGTTGAAAAGGAGGTTACAGTCAAGAGGACGACGAGGTATGTTTACAAGATTTACCCTCATTTCAAACCTCGATCAATAGTTACTGACGTGTTTCGCCCTTCAATGTAGATCGCAATCCCCCCAAAAACATAACTTCCGAATCGCATGGTTATACATACAAGGATAGGCACAAACGGAGGATAAACGTCTTTTCGGTGCATTGACTACTGGAACTTTACGAAAAGAATCATTTATCATTTGTTTCCCTTTCCAAGGGTAGTCGTTGACATAAGGCGTGTTTATACTTTCCCTTTAAACTTTCAGTGTCAATATGCATTCCAACAACATCGGGATGTTCTTTCGAAACAGCCTGTCATTTGAACTTTAATTGGTTGGTGGAATCCGTGCTCACCATACCAAATTGGGTCAAGGCTAAGCCTCGATGAAGGGGTAGGAAGGTCAAGTCGACTATGTGGATTGAATTTCGCAACTTCAATTTTGGCATTGAACGATTTCTTTTACCATTCGTTTTCATCTTTTACAAAAATTATGATCAAAGAGGTCTGCGGGCCGTAGAAATTCTCTGCTTACACCACTTCATCAGCGCACAACCTCGATTATTCTCTCTCCCGACATCATCGTGTTTCGTTGTACTAGGTTTAGCTACTTCATTTGTTGCCCGAGTGGGAATCATGAGACTCATTTGACTCGCATGAAAATTTCTGCATGTTCGATACTGTCAAAAGCCACCCAAGCTGTTGAAGGTTGTCAATAAATTCTCTGGCAGACCTTGGCTTGCCTGTTTCTTATCTGAATGTTGGATTTTCTGGCTTCCCTTCACGGAATCCTACATATGATTGTTTTTAAATATGTTTGATGACTAGACGAGCGTTTTATTTAGAAATTTGGCAATGACATTCTCATTACATAACCTTCCCTTGATAACTTCTTCCATATGGGTGTAGGGGTTGGAGATCACTCGACACTCGTGCTCCAAGATTATTGCTTCGTCTTTTCGATCAAGCCTTTTACAAACCGCAGCGAATATCAGTCACATAAATAATAAACGATATCATTCTTGTGACAGATTTATCAACAATTCCTAACTTGTTCCAGCCATTTTTGCATTCATCAAACCAAGCACTCTCAACCCTTATTATGGTCTACCAATTAAGCAAGCCTATCCGCAAATTCTCAAACGAGATTCTTTCTCAATTATTAAACATGCCGATCAGGAGACCTGGACTAAAGTTTTACTATGCTCTACAAAATTCTGCTTAATTACGCAGCCAATCTTGTTCTCCAAGGCCAACGCAACCCATAAGACACTATGCTACTATTTTCGCGAACAGCTCTGAAGAAGCCATTTCTTTGTTCGTACGCTCGCTCACTTACTGTACTCACACATAGTATCAAGATATCGTTACTGTCGAAAAAGCACCGCCTGTTGCTTCAGAAAAACATACCCAGGTAGGTATCCGGCCTATCTGCTATATTTCAACAAGGCTTTTCACAGTGGAACGATGAGTTCAAACTGCTGAGAATTTGAGCCCTGTTATGGCTATATTAGTATCACTATTCCCGCATTAATGATTGTAGGATAAGAGAGTTTTGCGCTAGCTTTTCTTGACACTATCCTGGTTATTGATATCTACTTTAGCTGAAGGGACTTGTCTGGCTTGCGATTCTGCTGCGGAATCAGGGGATGTTATCATAAGGGGGCTGGAAAGAGTTTGATTGATTGATAGAACTGGTAGAGTTGGTACGTACTCTCGCGTGTTGCGTCAATAATTCTATGGCGATTACAATTCGCATAGACGAATGTACGATTTCTACTATCGACGCCAGAAATTCGTGGTTAGTCTTGCAATTTATCGAATCTGTGTACTCTTTTCGTTGAGGATTATGGTGTTTGGAAGTGTGTTAAGTTGTTGATTGATCGGTCTTTTGGGGATAAGATGGATGCGAATTGGTTTTGTGGAATCAAGGGGAATGTACACATCTATGGATTGTTGTATTGTCTTTAGGTAGGGATTTTGGGAGTGTGATGTCTCGGTTCTGCTACCGAGAGGTAAGGGGAAGTGGTGAAAGGGGAGGGGAGAGGGGGTACTGTGAGTTGGACTAGAAACTTCTTGAGCTTTTCTTATGTGGGGATTGTGAGATTGGGGATTAGGAGATTATTCAGACCAGTAGCAGGCTTTCTGTTAGCTTGGTGAAATGTAAGGTAAGATTTGTGCCTTTTTCCATGATTTTGATCTTGATCTTGGTCAATCGTGATTATTTGTATCGTATCTCGCTTCTCGGTTAAGTTGAGTGGGTAATTGAGTTTTCTCAAGTGGTAATATATACATGTTAGATGGTGTTTTGGTGTATTGTCTTGGATCTTGAGATATCTCCCGCTTTAATTCCTTTTCCGTTTCCGTTCCTCTCTTTCCTTTCTGGTCAGCTGGGATATGTTTATTTTTCTTCTCAAGTTACATACGCTGGAGTTGTTGTGTGAAGTTTCGGGTGGGATTATGGTCTATTGTTTTCTTGGGTCTTGAGTTTGGGATTGGTTGATTTCTTTTGCGGGGTGGGGATGATGGTTAGGTGGTGGGAGGTGGGAGGTGGGAGGTGGTATATTGTTGTTTTCATTGCCTGGATAGTTCACTGGTGAGATTGGGTGTGTGTGTGTGTATGAGAGAATGAGAGGGGGGTGAGAGAGAGAGAGATAGTTTTTCGTGACAGGGATTTTGAAGTCATGAATTGTTTTTATGTGGAGTCTCGGGAGTTGCTACTTTGGGTTGGGATGACGGGATGTGAGGTGATGTGGAGGGGATTGTTTGATTGGTTATTGTGGTTGTTGTTGGTTTCTTCTAGATGTAAGAGAAATCCAGAGCTGTGAGAGTGGAGAAGGGGGAGGAAGGTTCAGTTTTGAAATCTGGAATTCTTGGAATGTGGGACTTGGGGCTTGGGAGTGAAAGAGAGAGGGGGAGGTGGGGGGAGGTAAGGTATAGAGTTAGGGTCAGGGAGAGGTGTTGAGATGAGCTGGAGAGATTTGGATGGTGGGATGATGGGATCAGAATACTGGATACTGGCCGCGAGCTAGAGGAGTTGCATCGAGGTGATAGCTTGTTTGGGGGAAAGGGGGGAAGAGGGGATGCGGGGAGTCTTTTAGGTAGTAGGATGATGATGAGATAGGGTGAGGTTGAGGTTGAGTGGTACTGTTAGTTCGATGAGAGTACGAGATGGACTTGATCTTAATCTTAAGTGGAAGCGGAGATAGCCAGCTAGAGAGAAAAGTGACAAGATCTAGCGATACGGATTTGAGTATCGTTGGGATGAGAAGGGAGTTGATTCGTCGAGGTACATATGGTTATGCGACTGATGAATTGAGTTTCATTTCTGCTTCTGATGATTGATTTCTGGTTCTAATTCCAGTCCTAAGATGTGGTTTTTCAATGTCTTTTCTTTCTGATTATATATTGATTTCTCTTCAAGTATCAGTACTATCATTACTGTATTCATTATTAAGATTATCTTCCTTGTTCATAACTCCTACTTCCCAATTGCATTTCTAATCCCTTAATTTCCAGCATCGAATATATGTGTACATATATAAGAGCATCTCATTCCGCCGAGGCTTTAAGCCATATCGTCAAATCCCAAACACCGAAGCCATCACAAGTATTCCCACATTGCATTCTTGTAGTCTTTCAATGCTGCACCATGGGGTTTCTGCCTTCCCTCCCCTTACCAGAACACTATTACAAATACATCATTTTATCATCATATCATACACATAAAATACAAACCGCACCATACACACATCCAATCATTGGTCCTCCTTCTCCGCACCTCCCCCTCTTTTCTGATCCAACTTTCAAACGCGAATGGCGATATACTCTTTTGCATCTCTATCTCTGTCGTCTTTCTCAACCTCTTTGATCCAGTAAAACCAATCAAGAAGCCAACTCTGCGAAATTATACCTCGGATCGCCAATCTCGAGTTCCGATGTACCAATTGGTATGCTGTCGAAGATTGACTCTTTGGTCGTGAATTCTTGCCAGAAGGTGTGGCAATCTGATGGAGGGAGATGTTAGTTAGGGAGATAATAGATGAGTTGAAAGCATGAAGGTAAGCGTGTAGATTGAGGATTAAGAAGACATGTGCCTATTTGTAGATCTGCGGCCTGCTATTTTGAGGAAAATCAAAGTTGACCATGAAGTTGCAGAGAATACAAACCTTTGACATCATGGAATTCGATAATGAGCCCTTTGATATTACTCTTTCCAGAGATAATTGCGGATCGATCCTGAAGTCTCTCGTACGCCCCGTTCGTGGATTCCTGGGAGCCGATAGTGGTAATACTACCTTGAGTATTGTTCCTCGATTGCCTGGTCGCCTGTTTGCGAGCTTCATACAAGGGCCTATCATTAAGACTCTCTAGTGTTATGACTTTGGTTTTTGGTTCCTTCGGTTCTTTGAATATTGAGACTGCGCACCACGTGTTAGAATGTGTTCAGGGATGAAGAAAGATTCCGAGAAAATATATCTACCAGGCCACTCCTCAAAACCGGACTTGCGATCCGAAAATTTGCGGAAGTAAAGAATATAGCGAATCCTGGATGTAGCGTCACAAAGAATTCGAATTGTAGATAGACGACATTGGCACTCCTTATCTTTTATAGACTTGATCCATTGAATATCAAAGTAGTGCCTGACTTCTTTGAGAAGAATGAGGCGGTGGAACTCCAGGAAATCTGATATTACTTTAGTAAAAACTTGGTCTTGTTTATTGATTATAAGAGGTATCTACCTTTTCTATTGTGGAATGTATAAGTTGGTGCGTAACTATGATACGAAATCTTCTGTCCTTGAATTTCATCGGACTTGGTGACTTTGAGCCGGTGAGAGCCTTTCATTTGAACAAGGTATCTATGAGCATCATCTGTGTGAACGTGGCGATTGTCGATGAAGGGTATCATCGAGCTTTGTGATGTTGAGGGTGTAGCAGGGTCGACTAAATGGCGAGCTTCAGTGCAACCGTCCTCACTGATGATATTTATGATTGTGACTTCCGCATTGTCTGATCGAACGATAGATTGTATAAGTCCATTGAAAGCATGTTTAGGATATCTCCTGATGCAAAGTCAGTGGATGGATGTCAGGATGGCATTGAGACTTACAAATAAACTGCAATTGATGGATCAACACGCATCGAGGGAGTCGGTGAGATTGAAGTGGTAGACAGAGCTCTGTTGTGTCCCGATGACCCATCAGAGTCATGCGGAGATGGGGAATAACCGTAGGTATTGATGGAATTGCTATGAGGAATACCAAGAAATCGATTAATTGGAGATGTACCCAAAGGACTGCCAGTAGTAGAGCCAGCGATTTCACGAAATGAGCCCCCACTACTTCGAGGTGATGCTTGCGAAACAGAAAATTCTTCTCCAGTTGATTCCGTACTATTCCATGGGACTTGAGATCTGACACGGGCAGGGTGCAATATTTCACGTTGAATCCGGGTTTCCAGTTGGTTCCATGCCTCAAGCTCGTAAAGCAATGCGTTTTCAGGTTCGAATCTTGATAATGAGTGGTCTTTATGAGCCGGTATATTGGACTGCATAGGATTAATTCCCACTGCATCAAATATTTGTCCTCTCATATCTTGTAATCGTGAAATGAGTGGATCGACTGATCTTTCTGTCCCTCTTGACTGTGTAGTAGACATAGAATTGACTGTTTCGACACGCCTCATTGCCAAGTTCTCCAATCTCTGTGATAGAACGTAGCGTCTCTCAATCCCATCATCTTGTAGACTCAATTGGCCAGATATGGTTGATCGCGTGATCGAGCTCGGTGGGTCCTCACCGTGTTGATCCTGCCAAGGATGCTGTAAGTCGTGGAGGTATTCGACTGCTTTAAGGGGTTTTGGGGGTGCTAATGCTTGTTCGAGTTGGCGAAGCATAGGATAATCAATTTGTTTCATCTCAGAGTTCGACTCGAGAGGGTGTGTTACCCTTTTCAAGTTTTGAGTAATGAGTGATACCAACTCAAGATGAGACGAGACCAGCTTAAGATTGGACGTAAGTAATTCTTGATGGGAAGTGCTGTATAGAATGGTTAGCTTCTGACAGTATTGTTTGATGATATGATGAACCTTATCTCTCGCACGATGTTATTCGTGTCTTGGGCTACTGAGTGGTTTAAAGCAGATATTTTGTAAGTAGCTAGACTGAGGTATAACTCCATCTTGGTACGAAGTTGCAAAACTTGATCTCTCTCAAAGGGCCAGGAAATCTGCAAACACAGAGTTTTGATTTGATCCTTTGAAAAAGCAGCCTTCCTTAACCACATGGGTACTCCTTGCTTTGTGATTGCAGTCTGAGGATTGGCGGCACTTATCAATCGCATATGTCTCGAAAGAAACTTGACACACTGCTGTTGGAGTTGTGACGGAGCAGCTGCCAAGCAAGAACTTTCTGCTAAACTTCCATCTCGGCGGTCCAAATCTTCTAAGCATTGCATAATCAGATAAAAATCCTCAAAGAATTGCTTTGCTTCGACTTTGGCACTCATGGGTCCATCAGAGACGGCTTTCCATACATCCCACACCAATTTTAGGCCGGCGACGATGTCGCCTGCCGACCACCCAAATCCACTCATTATGCAATTCCCGATACGCTTGATAGTTCAGGGTTCAATATGCGAGCGATCTCAAAGGAAAGAAGAATGAAATGTTTCAAAGACAAGCGAAAATCATTTGAGATGATAAACCGTTAGAGTTAATAAAAGTTATGAAAACGTTTCTGGAGTCCCCAGGACAAGCCATAACCGCATCCCAGGGGGGTAGTTTAAGAAATGGTGTGTGACTCCAACGCCTTCAGCACACCTTGATCCATAGGACATCGATCGACAGGGCGATTTGATAGAATGATGCAAGCTCTTGTGAGACGGGATGATGTTTTCCGAATAAATCTACGCCCAGGTAGAGAAACAAGACAAAAGTAAGATGAACTTTGGACATTCTCCTACGTTTCCACGATTGATACTCAGCCCTGTTGCCATGGCTTGTGGAGCAGCAATATTGATCTGTGACTATTTTCAGACAATTGGGGGTTGTAAACTGATGGTAAAGTGGTAATGGAGATTCTCTGAGGGGAGAAGGTTATGTGGTGGTCGTTAAAAACGAATCAATGAACCCACGTGGGAATCCTTGCACATGTGGCCCCTGCTTATCCCTCGATTTCTCTCACTTGGCCACATTCATCTCAACTTCACGTACTTAGCCTAGGTAACCTTTGAGATTCAATAAATTTCGTAACGTCTCCTGCAATTGCATTTCCAAACGACCAGAATCAAGATAAGATACTTGATTACAACGAAGCAACAGGCAAAAATCTTGTCTTGGATTATGAGATTCGCTTATGGATTGCCTCGCCTCTCGGCACCGTGCGGCGACGAGTCCAAGATGAGATGCCGCATTCTTACTGCTAGCTTTTCCATTTGATCTTATCTCGTATTACACATCCTCGTGATCATTTCACATATTCAAGGCATGTTTTCCGAGAGTTTTCGATATTGAACGCCATTCACACCTTGGCACATTACCGCAGCCTCTTTGTTCCAGAATCAGCCACAGATATACGCCCTCAAGCCGCAGGTAGACCATGTGTGTATGCTTGTCTCTGTGTGCCTGGTAGAGATGCCTCATCTACAGCCTCGTCTTTACAGATATACCTCATTTTGATCTTGTTTCTCTCACTATTTCATACTCCCATCATCCCGATTGTGAAGCATGTATCATTGTGAGATTCTGTTATCTACGATTCGCTCAAACTTCAAAGCTTTTGAGAAATATCAATTGCCAGACTTCTTGAACAGGTTAAAAACGGACGACTACCAAGTTTTTCATATACCAAATAATGCCGCCTTGGGGGTTGAGATGGTTAAAGTTGTTTCTGAACCCGTACGCAGATGATGACTTTGATCACATCGATGTGAATTTTGCCTCATCTTTGTATTTTTTCCAATAGCTAATTCTTTCGCTAGGAATCAGACCGCAGAAAGTATATCTTTGAACGTCTTGAAGGATCTGATTTTTCAGAAAGTTTTTGGGTAGTGGTCGTTGCCGGAGTGGGATTTTTTACCGATGCATACTCAATATTCGCAATTAACATGGTGATTCCCATGTTAGGAATTATTTACTATGGAGATCCTGTTAACAAGGGAGTAATGCCTCACAACTACGAGATTGCTCTCAGTGTTGCTACATTGGGTGGATCTATCATCGGTCAAATAGGGTTCGGTCTTGGTGCTGATCTATATGGAAGACGGAAGATGTATGGGCTGGAGCTGATGATAACTATCTTCGCAACATTAGGTGTAGTTATGTCATCTAGTGGTATCGAAGGCTCAATGTCCATCATTGTATGGCTGTTGGTATGGCGTTTTGTTTTGGGAATTGGTATTGGATCGGATTATCCACTTAGTAGTGTTATCACTGCAGAGTATGTAAAATCTTTTAATATCATGACCTCGCCCCGCTAACTATGACCATAGGTTCGCTCCGCATAAACTTAGAGGGAGAATGATGACCGCAGTCTTTATGTGCCAACCTCTGGGTCAATTGGCCGCAACTTTAGTGTCTTTGATTGCAGCGGCCAGTCAGAGAAATGGAATCCCAGCAAATGCTACGCCGGAGAATTGTGCTGGCGAATGTCTCAAAACAATGGATTCTATATGGCGATGGATTGTCGGTGTGGGGGTGATTCCAGCAGTCATTGCTCTCTGGTTCCGACTTACAATTATAGAATCACCAAGATATACAGCTGACGTGGGTAGAAATAGTAAAAAGGCAGCATCGGAGCTAAGCAGATATCTTCCATCGGGGGTTGAATCAGCAGTTGCTTCTACTACTTCCATCGAAATACCGCCGCAAGTTCGGTTCCGTAGATCAACCATGAACGGTAATGGGCGACCAAACTCATCCCAATCGCGAAGAAGTAACGAAGAAACATTAGACGATATTCATTTGGAGGATCAGATCTTAGCAACTGCCAATGACAACAAACCTCCCCCTGTGCCTTCATGGGAAGATTTCAAAGATTACTTTTGGTATAAAGGGAACTTGAGAACGCTCATTGCTACCTCTATGTGTTGGTTTTGTGTAGATTTGCCTTTCTAGTAAGTCTTCTGGCTGGAGAATATTTCGGTTCTTATACTTGAGACAAGATCGCGGTCATTTTTACAAAATATAATTATCTTGGTACATCTCTAATTGATTGGTTTGTAGCGGACTTGGAATGAATAGCCCCCATATCATCTCCACAATCTGGCACGGTATAGGAACTCCGCCAAAGTACATCTACCCTATCCTTATCGACGATGTATGGCAAAGTCTTGTGGTTGTTTCTATTGGTGCAATTGCGGGCTGTGTCATTACCTTCGTGGCTATCGACAAACTTGGACGACGGAATATTCAGATGATCGGTTTCTTCTTTCTATTTGTTCTATTTATCATAATTGGGGGATCATTCAATCATTTATATAATATTGGCGGCTCGGCTGCTACCATCGTTTTGTATATCCTGTGTCAGATATTCTTTAACTTCGGTAAATTACTTCCACACCATCCATGCGAAGTATGTACTAATTAGAATATAGGTCCAAACACCACCACTTATATAGTTAGTGTGACTCCAAGTTCATTGATTTATACTTCTCTAAATGTGACCTATTCTCTAATAACTAGTACAGATTGCAGCAGAACTATTCCCCACTCGATATCGTGCACTATCCCATGGCATATCTGCAGCTTTCGGAAAATTAGGTTCTGTCATCGCCCAATTATTTCTTGCCTACGTAGACTATGGTCACAACATCGACTATAATCGTATCCAACTTTGGCTTCCATATTCTCTTTTGATGTGAGTTTCATTCCGATTTCCTCTATCTGTCCCATACATTCATCAGCTGACGATGCTCTAAAGCTTCTCAATATTCATGCTCCTAGGTCTCTTAATAACAATCTTCTACATCCCTACACCCGAACTAGGATCAGATGGTGTGAAAACACTTGAAGAGTGGGAAGTCGGTAGACCGGCTAATGGATTTTCCAAAACATGGGTAGCCAGAACCATTGCAAAGGTCTGGAGATGGAGCTCGAAGAGTTGGGATGGAATGGTAGGACTGATCGATAGAGATGAGGGAGAGAGGAGAAGGGAAATGAGGTTGCTCAAAGGTGAGAAAAGAATGATGGTGAATGAGGATAACATTGGAGGATCGGAAGGGGATACCAATAGAGATTAGGTTGGGTTGGATTGAATTGTGAAAGAGGCGAGTAGAGATTTGGAAAGAAGGAGTTTAAGGGTGATATCAATCTTGTATTGTTTATGTCGTGTCGTACGTCTCACCAACATCACATAATCGTACAGTTCTTGGCGTTTTTTGATACTGGTGGGGGCCCCTCGGCCACAAAGGGTTATATATTGACACCTACACTTCCACGCATGAGAGCTTTAGAACACAATGCGCAATTTGTATCAGGATAATATGGAAACAGAGAAAGTACATTGATATCGCATGAGCTTATGGTACAATGCGATAAAAATTTCTCTTCTACATCTTGATATGGGGAAGCTGCGTTTAGATCAGCCAGGATATCATGTACCTAAGTGTTACTTGGCAAAGTTGTTAGATCAAAAGCATGATGAAATGGATTGAGTTTTATATTTGTTTCGCCGTATTGGTACTGTGTATGCTCAAGTTAAATCTCTCAATTTGATAAGTAACTATGGCAGCAACCTGGCCAAGTGACATTGTCTTGCCTTCATCCCGATACTATCTGCATTATCTCAAATCGCCTCTCCCCCATAACGTGAATACATATTTCTGAGTTTAATGATCATGATAAATCCCCAAATATCTGGGGCTTTTGAAGAACGTTTCTGATCTCTTCCCAAACTACCCTTTGAAAACACCAGTGGAATCTCAACCATAGCAACCATTATTCCGATTCAGTAAGACGGGTTTGACGTGAAGGGAGTGACAACGAATCTGGGAACCTCCATCCATATCGGACCAGCATCTCGAACTTTGGACTCTCAAATTTCGTTTTGAGATCGTCGTGAAGACTATCAACTAGCATATCTTCATTATAATACTCAATAGACTTGCGATAGTCGGAAAGGATCATGTTGACTGGTTTTGGGAACAGATCGTAGACCTCTTCAGGCTTAAAGAGTGTCAAGCCAGCAAGCTCATCCTGCTGGGGAAGTACTCCACTTTCTTCCAACAACTCTGCATCCCAAATAATGTCGTCATGTACAAATATGAGCTCCTTCAATTTTTTCATAAGTCGCACTATAGAGCAAAGCTGTTCGAGATCTTCAGAGTCAATTCTGCAGATATTGTGGTCCACGACAATGTGACAGCAATGTCTGAAAAATTTAGTTTGAAGGTCCAAGATTGTCAGTGGATGAAAGATTGCGGGGACTCGTTCCCAGTCATAGTCCAAATCAATGGACTGGCGTGACCACCGAATGTACTGATCTATAGCCAAGTATTGGATCTTTTCAGCCTCCTGAAAATCAATTGATAGCAAGAAGGTCGTCAAGTGCTCTTGAAGTTTCCAATCCAGATATAGGGTGTCAATCTTGGCGTTGAATTGAATTCCTCCAGCATCGAGGTCTCCATCAAGTAACTTAGGATATAAAGATAGGACAGCTTGCTCCGAGTCTTTACAGACTGTCAATGCAGTGGGTAGCGGAGCAGTAGAATAAAATCGACCGTGCTGGTCTTTTTTGGGTCTAATTTCGACAATACGTGGCTCGAGAGTCAACCTCCAGATCTTGTCTCTCATCTCAACTGGTAGTTTCGAAAACAATGTGAAGCGACGGCTCGTCATGATGTATTCCCATGGTGTAAGGTTCGTCATGTTGTAAGTTGTTGGAGGAAAGGAGAGAAACTTGCGGAAGTGCTTATGGGAGAAACTTGGTGGGACACCGATCTGTCAGAAGGTCAGTTATTTATTATCAATAGCCTGAGCTAGGGTATAACATTACTTGTAAACTTGCAAGGCTCAAGAGAAATACTATTTGCGGTGATTTGGAGTCGGAATCTCACAATCGCGGATGACGATTGTAAGTGACTCAAAAGATTGAGCGTGGGATTGAAATGAGATTTGTTCTCATTTCTCCAACAGATGTGTTTGCGTGAGATTATTTACAAGATTAAAGAGAAGAGCGTGATATAAAGACGTAAAAAGAATGACTATATGATTGGTGGAAGACATATCTTAGTCATACAAGTGTCAATTCTGCCGAAGACGGTGTGACGGCAACCTTGCACAACACAACATCATCTCATCCAATTGATCGAGCATCACTCCGAGATTTTGAACAGCGCAACACTACAACATCTCTATGGTACCATGCGATATAATCTCAATGAGTCCCAGTAATCCTTATCCTCAACTCTTTTCAATTTGGACAACAAAACACGTCCTCGCTAACAATTGCAGTATTGTGGATTGCAACTTGCCTCACACCCTGACTCTATTTACTGCTCTAGAGCTCGATGTCCAACTTCGCTGGGAGAATTAATGAAACGTATAGAAAGCTCTCAGTTGAAAGGTCGTTATAAGTGTTCATGATCCCAAGTCTGATGCCGCTCGGCTCAGGATCAGATTCTGTATTTGGGTATGCAAATAGTTGTGAGCATTCACAAAGATACTGTTGCAGACCAAGATATCCGTGAGCTAGTAATAAGTGTGAGGACGTTGAAAGAGATTTACAAAGCCATGAAGCTTTTTCCAGAATCATGACATTGAAATGAGAGGCTGCCTCAGTTCCCCCGTGGAACGTACTAGATGATAGCTGCTAAACACCTTGTGTTCGAAGACTTCCTCAGTTTATCTCTGTTTCGTGGTTCTTTGACTAGTTCCATTCCTCCTTTTTATTTGGCGTACTGACCACTCGGTCATTGTGCTTTTTCAAAGTCTCCGAAATCTGGACTGCCCTAAGTCGAAGCTGACCGAAGGGAAAATTGCATGCGCTGCAAGTAGTTGCGTGTTTCATGACTCAAAACTCTGTCCTGATTATCTCTTCCAGTATTTTCCTTGTATGCTCTCGCTCCAAAATATGACAATTGTTTTGATACCGCGATTCCGCACTTGTGTTATGTTGGTGTGGTACTCTCTCGTCGAATCCGCTTTTGAAAGATAAGCGGCAGAAGGTCCAGAACAAGAAGACACATTTGTGTCTAATGCTTCTCGATGAACATAATTCTAAGTGGAGAGGATCAATCTATACAATTGTGAGTTGGCTGTGGTATGCCAATGAGCAAACTCCCTGCATAGCAGTTCTTTAGTCGGAAGCTCGCCAAATTTGGTTGCTGTTGCTGTTCAACCTTTACGCAAATTGCTAAAAGATTGTATCCTAGCATCCCAATTCTCTTGAATGCCATTGTTCCAGAGTTCCAACCAGTACCTGTTCAAAATATGTGCAACGGTGAAACTACTTGTGAAAGTAGGTAAAACTGAGCGATCAGAGGCCAGGAGCGGATACTTGTCAATTTTTAGCTATATAATAAACTATAAAGTGATCAGCAAGGCCTTTCTCATCATCGAAATCCATCATCATGACATCTTGTCGCTATATTTTATGTAGATAAAGATACCTTTAGATACGTACCTTTAGATTGATTTAGCTTGTATTTTTGATTGAGAAAGAAGCTGAACACCAGATCCTAGCGATAAACAAAAAGAATACTCCTTTGACAATCATTCACCTCAATATGTCTGTGGCTGCAACACAAGAAGAAATCTTTGATTGGCCCGGGTAGTGGAGGTTATGAGTTGATGGGTCCGTGCAATGTCAGTAACACACTCTGATAGTTTTTTGTTATATTACTTCGAAAAGCTCTTGAAAGTTGAAACATCAATACTTCGACTTTTCCCCCCACGAGTTCTGTCAGCAACAACCAAAAACTCCTTAAAATACAAGTTCAGAGAGAAACCCAGACTACCTGTATTGTATCAAATCTGGCAAAAAAATGGATCTATTTGTTTATGATCCAGATGTAAGGAATACTCATTTATTTCTATCAAGACAATCTTACTGATTACTTTCTAGAGGTCCATATGGGACGGACCTGCAGATGATTCTCCATCTGTTGTCAGCAATCATCGACCATTAGATGCCGCAATTGGCCAACTTTGCAGGCAGAACAAGGCACTTGAAGAATGCAACGCTGCACTTGCGAGAGAAAACGCCAGTCTTAAAAGCCTTCTCGCTACCCACAACATCGCCTGGCCTGCCAACAAAGATTTGAGCACGATCACTGCACCAGATTCTTCAACTACAAGGTCGAATCCCGAGCTACCACTCGAAGTGAAGCTTCGCATTATACGCTTTGCTTTGCAGCTAGCACATCCAACAATTGACCCTGGTGTCAAAGTTTTGAAGTCCAATGTCACTGATATGGAGCATGCTGAGCAAAGAAAGCTTCCTGTTCAATTGTTGCGACTATCTAAATTCTTTTACAAGGAGGGACAGAGATCTTTGTTTGCGGACAACAGATTTATCTTCACTCAAGTCTCATCTTTGAAGTGGTTCGTCAGCACACACCCCAGATCCTGTGCCCAGTTGGAACATTTAGAGTTACGGATTGTTGGCAAATACTACGACGACCAAGGTTCTAACAAAATTGTCACACTGGGCTTTGACCAGCGAATTGGACGTTGGTACGCGGTGAAACCTATAAAGCGAATTCCAAACATCAACCTTAGTTGGACAGGTCTACAAAGCTATTGCTGGAAACAAATACTTGATTTTCTTGAAGCACTCCAGCTTCCCTGGTACGGCAGGCAACAAGCTAGGTCAAGGGAGCATACAATAGCCTTCAAGAATTTAAGTTCCATGATGATTGACCTTGTGAACTTCACAGACAATCTTCCTGGACCGGGAATCGACTTGAGGAAGATGACAAGAGAGACATTAGGTCCAATCATTGATAACTTGTATGTTAGAGGTCAGCCGCTGGAGCAAAATGGGTCATTGGCCTATGAATGCCTGGGTTACCTTATGAGAAATGGCGGAATTAGAGGTTGCAGCATCTTACCTCACTTCATAAGCACCATTTCAAGTGAATACTTGAAAATATTCTTACGCGATGAGTCCTTCTTACCAGAACTCAAGTATTACGCCAAGACATTACCGGAATCCAGAGAAGAAGGCGCCATGGAGAAATATGTCTGGAAGAAACTCCCCGCCGCATTCGGGGAATTAGAAGGCTCGGAAGTACGATTTCATGTTGCTAGTGGACTACCTGTTGAGAATGTTGAAAAAAACTACAGAATCTTGCTTTCCCGTCGAACAGAAGAGAACCTTGATGAATACGAGGGTATCTTTGGACATTATGATATTGACCTCGATGAAGATGAGCTAACGGAAATTTATGGACCGACTCGAGACGGCTGGGGACCTGATATATTCACAGCCTGGGATGCTGATGAACATGGTGGCCCGGATGCTCGGATATGTTCCAATTGTAGCGGTATGTATGGCTATTGTAATTCAGAACCGGAAAGTCGTATCTCGCTGGAGCGAGATGGACAGCTTGGAGCTGAAAATGGATTCGCTAGGGAGATCGACGGTGCTGAATGAGTGGATTTGGAAGCAACATGGTTCTTACAATTGAAAAAATGGCGTTGTGCGGAATGGGCTGCGAGTGGCATGTGAATAAGCGTACGGTCTTCTGTACATTCGGGGTTTGAGGGATATATTAAGATAGCTGGTGTTTTGGTGATGATGTTTCATGATGGCGATAAGGACTACTATACAACACGAGTCACTAGTTCTTCCTTGGATGGGGTTGGGTCTGGAAGTACTCGACATTAATTTTAGGTAAATTCTAATACATATTTCGAATGATTTTGGATGGCTAGAAGTGATTATGGCTACTACTACGATTTTAGCGCATTGCATGATTCGGCACTTCGAAAAGTAGTCCTAGCATATCTGATTCTGGTGGTGACTATGGACTGTGAATTACTACCACTCCTCTTCACGACCCTTTCTTTATATCGTCCCGTTTTTACTCCCAGCTGAACTAACCAGAAACATTTGTTGGAACGATATCCGGGTTTTCGCGAAATTTCGATTATCAAATAGAATTCGCCGACGACATGCTATTCCACTCATCAAAAAACGCCCCTTCATCAAAGAAGCGTGTCTTCTTGATCCAAGTGTAAACTTAAACTGCATTGCCGGTTTAGAAATTTCCGGGGAAGAGTCCAAAAGCCCTAACGTTTCCGTGATCAGCATATTGGCGAGCTGGCGATCGACTATTCTTACTCGAGTCAAGGTTCATTAGTAGTTTGCAGGATTGTGACGTTGTCATGTTTTGTTGTCACTTCAACCCTGCCGTCACGAAAAAGAGTTTGGAAAAAAACTTCTCCATAACGAATGAGAATATAGTAACGGTACAAGAGATACTTGATTCAACACCACCCGCATTCAATCAAGATCCACAATGCCAACATTATCATAATTATTAATGTCTGCGGTATTCGCGACAATACATTCAATTCAAATATGGTAACGGTATAATTGATTGCATAGTGACGCGCTTAATTGGTTGGAACGCGATGATAAGGTTGAAGCTTCTGGCCATAATCCACTATTTTTCTCGAGTACGGTTGCGGCCGCACTAAACTAGTCACTTACTCACTGTGACCAAAATTATTTTAACATCATCCACAATTTCTTCGTTCATTCTTTCTCTCTCTTCCACTTTCCTTCTTGCAGCACAACGTATAGTATCATACCAGTTACTCGATAAAAATGTCGGCAAGAGTCTGGAAGTTCCTATCGAATACCATTGGAAAACTACAAAGTTCAAGACCAGCTCAACAAAATGATAATTTGAACAATTCACCATCCCTGCGCGAAATCGAATCGAATCCCGACACACCGACTCGTCACGGCAATAGCAATAATGTGGGAGAAGAATCTGCAAACGGGGGACTGTCGACAGAGCAGGATGAGTCGGTGCTCGATACCCCGCTGAATAAGAAGATCAGTAATATTAAAGAGAAGCTTGAGGGGGCGGTCAAATCAATTACGAAAGATGAAGCAGAAGATGAAGCTCAGGAGGATGTCACGGCGGAGGACACAGACAACATTGAGGCGGAAGAAGCACCAAAGGCAACCAAAAGATCATTAAATGGTAAATCAATCGCAGTTGCACCTCCGAGACATGGTCGTAATAAGAGGGGAGGATCTGCAGAGAAGGTAGAGACATTGGCGCATACTGAGGTTCCAGTCGAAAATACTCGCAAGACAAGGGCAAGAGGTAGACCTGCGAAGAACTCAAAGACAGTGGTTCAAGATGAAGCTATCGCTTCCACGACACAAGCAGAAGGTAACAGTATGGAAGAAGAGGAAACCGCAGAAGTCGCAGAGCCATTAGTAAAGAATGAACCTTCAGTCGACAACTCTACGACTCGTAAACCAAGAGGAAGAGGTAGACCTTCAAAGCCGAAGGTATACGCAGAAAGCAACCAATCGGAAGCTGAAATTATGGCAGAAGAGGTAGAGGCATCGAATAGCAACAGCAACCCAATTGAGAAACCACATACCAATCGCAGCAAGAGACCATTACTTCCAAAAGTCGCAGACCAAGTACATGTACCCGAACCCTCTATCGATACACGTCCAGTCGCCAACAATAAAAGAGGAAGAGATGTTTTAGAGTCATCCGTTGGAACTGAAGAGGCCGAAATGGATTCTTCTGCGAGTATTTCTAATAAACGAAGAAAGACTTCCGCAAAGCCCGTAAGTTGCCCGCGCATTTGCATCCCCTCTTTGATCTAGAATCAAGTGCGAATACTAATACAACACAGGAAGGACCTGGTATCCCACCTATAGGAACCACTCAAGAAGCCAAGGACGAACGAAGAAAATATATGGACAGGGAAAGACAACGCAGATGCCGACAACGTAAAAAGGACAGACAACAAGGATTACAAGCAGCCGAGAGAGAAGTTTTGGCACAGGCTAAAGATGAGAGAAAGAAAGCTATGGCTCGAGAACGTGTTCGAAGACATAGAGATAATCAAAGACAGAAACAAGGTGTGGATGTTGAAACGAAGGCATCGGGTAGACAAAGAACGAGGGAAGTGGCGAGGCAGAGGGATAGGGAGTTGATTGCTGGTGGTGGAAGAAATGGTGCGAGCAATTCGGTGGAGAATGAATCGTTTAGCGAATGAAGGATTTGAGAAAGGGGTATTGAGTACTTGTTCTTAGGTTGTTCTTTGTTCTGTTATATAATAGTTTCGAGGACCCATTACTCATGATACATACAAACAGGACTTACACAATATTGTACCAGTCAGATTCCTCCAAATTTTCAAAATTCTCGAGTTCTCAACCAAGACTTTTTAATGATTCTGAGATGCATTCACTGATATTGTGATTGTGACTACTTTGCTTGAGAACGTCCACCATCGCTCGATTCTTATTACAAGAACGTAATAACATGATAATATTCACGTCGATGGAAATACATACACGCTACATAAAACTTACCTCCTGTCTACCACCCACCCTTCCACTCCCTCGCCTTTTTACAGCCCGTCAAGTATCAAAATGATAATCCATGTCGCATTATATCACACCACAACTGGAAAACTGAGTATAAGTATAGGTACAGCTATAAAGATATAGATATATAAAGTGATGTAAAATAATCAAAAGATGCAAAGTCGGCAAATAGAGAATCCGTAGAAGTATCAGTGTCAATGTTGAGGTTGGGATTAGAGTTAAGTTCACTGGGTACGAGGGACTAGATGGGTGTTGGGTTGGGTGTTTAGAGGTTTAATGCGATGTGATGGGATATGATGGTATGGGATGGATTATGATGGGGGAAGTGGTGTGAGGTGGAGGAAGCGAGGACTTGGTGCTTGGGACTTGGGGTTTGGGATTTGGGATTTCGGTTGTGGATGTTGGGTGGAAGAGGAGGGAGGAGGAGGGAAGAGAAGGAGAGAGAGGAAAGAACGAGAGAGAGAAGTGTGAGTATTGGGGAAAAGGGCAAGGATGGGGAATCGGAATCGGGGATCGAGGCGATTAGATTTGGGGACAGGACAAGGGAGTGAGGGAGTGACGGAGTGAGAGAGCAAGGAAGTAAGGGGATTGAGGGGATGGCATAATTGCCTTCTATATATTAAAATATTGATAAATATTGATAAAGAATAGAGAGAATAGAGAGAATACGGAGAATACGGAGACTGAGAAGGAGATAAAAAGAATGGAGGGTAGGCAGGCAGAGGCAATTCGAAAGCAAGCCGTGCAAAGAATATTACTGAATTACGGTGATTATGTTGCGGATAGATGCTTGACGTACAAGCAGTCTGCGCAATGGGATCGAAAGTATTCTGCAAAGTACTGGTCAGAAATTCATGAGATCATCGAGTCGGAGAAGGAGATGAAGGCGAAAGCAAGATCATTGTTGCAAGCACCACCATCAACACCAATGTTGAGCCATCTCGCAATGCTCGCTTTAGATCCAAAAGTACCGGTGGCCGATATTTTGTGGGATATATCAGCTTATACCGAGAGAAACAAGCTTTGCCACACAGACATAGCGATCATGGTTAAGCAAGGCAACTGGATGAAACTCGCTCAACGAACCCAAATCGATTATGAAAATGTAGATGCGTTATTACCAGACGAGTACAGAGACTGGATATTGCCATTGAAATCTGCGATTAAGCAGTTTCAAGACAAGTACTTCTCTGAAATAAAGATCGAGAGAACGCTACACATTACTGGAGGTTTCGAGATAAGGGATTATAAATTGAATACCAAGGCTGATGACACTAGAAGAGCACAGGAGGAGGTTGCTTTCGAAGTGGCCTTGAATAGAAAGAAGAAGGCAGAAGATCAGAGGCAATTGAAAAAAGAAAGAAAGCAAGTCAGAAGGGAATTGCGAGCTTCTAAGGATTTGGAAAGAGTGAGTAGCACTGGTAATAGTCGGCTCTCGTAAGCGGCCGACTAGTTCCCAGTCGGGGAAAGCAAGTGTCCCCGGAAAGTAAATGTCCCCGGCCAAAACCTCAATATTTCAACATTATATATTTTTTATATTGATGCATTATTAGAAATATAATTCAATCAGAGTATTATTATTAATTAAGATCACTAGAATTGAAAGATGTATTTTATATATATATCATTTATTAATAAAAACCTAAATTATTATCATCATCGTTATCAGAATCATTAATATTTAAACTAAATCTTTCATTGTGACGATCCGGTCTCAGGCCTAGATTAGTCATCCATTTGCCCCACCTAGCAGAGCAAATCTCGCTTCATCTTGGTCCCCTCCTGGTCCCCTCCAGGCCTATAAAAGCCTCTTACAGGTTCATTCTTTGTACAATAGTTTGTTATTCTCTAGTTACGATAATTGATTCTTTTCTACCATGCCTTGAACCTGTTGTCGTCACATTCATCACCCTCTTTTTGAAAGTCATTTTGAGAGTCCTCCATAAACATAAAAGAAACATAATCTTACTATAATCCTAACTCTATATCGCCCTGAGTATCACAAAAAGTAATATTTTATAATTTATTATGTGTAATTTTTGATTGTTGTAATTGAAATATTCAAATATAATATAGTTTTAATAAAATTGAATAAAGACACTTGCTTTCCGGAGACACTTGCTTTCCCCGATTAGGAATTAGTCGGCCGCTTACGAGAGCCGACTGTTACTATATTACGATATCGAGACTCGGCTCTTGGAATGAATAAGATATCTTGGTATTTAGACAAGAATCTCTTGAGTGATCTCTTTTAATCCATGCACTCACTGGTGGCCCCTTGAAGTGGATGGATCGGGTATGAGAAAAGGAACTTCGATCTCTAGAAGTGCAAGGGTAATCTGGTATGGTGAGACCTCACATTCAAATCTGATGAATAGGTTTTTCTTTCGCATCAAATATGTGCCCTCCTGGTACACTTGTCGGCATTTTCTCAATATTTGAGGATGAATATGATGTCTGGCGATAGCCACCTGATAAGGTGACAGTAGATCAGGAAATTGGCATGGAACCAACACTTCTTTGAAATCATAAAGTAGAAGCTCGTAAATTGTATTGCGAATTTCACCGGAAAGATCTTGAAATCCCAAAAGCTTCTTGACGTTCTTGACTACTGGCAAAAAGGTGGATGTCTCCATATCAGATGAGATGATCAAGCTTGAAAACTGGATCGTCGCTGATGATGAAAAGGATACAAAGATTGGGTCATCCTTTTTCGTATGGCAAAAAGACTTGGGAAGATGGTTGCAGAGTTGCCTTTTATTATCGAAACGCGGCTGTAATTGAGATGCAAAGATGCTGTGATAAAATTGAGATATGAAGATGGTGTAAGAGAATCAGATGTAGAAAGAATATGAATTTCTGTGAGGAAGAGTTCTTTATACAGAGGGCGGCAGAGATGGTACGGGATCATCTGCAGACTAAAGCTGCTGTACAAAGAAGCTTGAAGTCTTTTAGTTACTCTATTAGCATGATGAAAAATGGAATTATAATCAATGAACCACCAGTGGGTGTACAGACTAATAGGACACTGCAAAAAGGGACTTGTGAATATCTCTTGATATATGAAATCGTATATTTCAAGAAGTATTACAGTTGTTTATTAGAGATGAAACAATCAAAAAATAAATTCTAATATCAAACAATTGAAGAACCAATTTGTTAAAAATTTCGAAAGTTGGAAAGTGTCCCGTCAATCCATGCATCCCCACTGGTGGACTAATCAAGAAGGGTGACTTACCATATCAAGCATTGCCGGTGAATAGAAATCGTCTATTTCTTCCACAAGGGCTTTGCTACCACACTCAAGGCACCAATGGAACTAACATGCCGAAATTGCAACTCAATGATTTCCTGTTCTATAGAGTTGATCACTAGCACCGTCTTGGTAGCCGACAGTATCCTAAAGGCTACGCCCCTCTGATTCTCTTCTGCTCCTCCAAGAACTCAGGATAATCAGGCATGGCTTTCAAAGCTTCCTCAATTGCCTCGTATGCACGTGACACTCCCGCCAATCGGCAACCGATGGCTTCTCGATATCTAAACTCTGCCAACTTGTGCTGAGATGGCTCCCAGCCCTCTAGATTGCAATGTCTGTTCGTATCGAAGGGATCGTCAACTGTACGCGATAGAACACGGAACAGAGCCTTTCGTTGTTGCATTCCGGTCATCTGCATTGCGTGGATGATGTATTGAAGACGATCCGATGAAAGATCAAAATATATGTTCATGAGTTGATATATAAACTCTGGTCCATGGATTTCATGCAACAGTTTTCTTTGAATCATAGTCAAGATTCGTCGAATCGTCATTAAAGCTTGACACCAGGTTTGGTTTGCATTTTCAACATCTCCTAGAGCGAAGAATTCATTTCCTCTTGCTTCCATACTCTGTAAACCATGAATGGTCCCTTCGGAATTTAGTTGAGGGGCCTGGGCAATTTCTAACAGAACAACGTCCTTCAACCCATCTGATATGTTTCCTTTCAATTGAAACCCCGAGAAACCTTTGAACTCGGAACGATAAGGTGCAATGAGCTTCTCTTGTCGCTTCTCAGACAAAGATGACGACTTGGACATGTCTTCGTCGTAAGTTTCGAGAAGAGTAACAATATGAGCTGCTGACATCTCATCACAATAGGGAAGTGTTCCTATTGCACTGACAACCAAAGCTGCACACAACAGTGGAAGATGACGATGAAGTAGCATAAATTTGTATGGCTCCTCAGGTAAAATTCCTGAGGATTTTGTTGATCCACAGATCTCATGAGTCATTACGCAAGCTTTCCGGAAGTCTTCTTCTTGCTGCTCTGTTTCTATTCTGACCATTGGAATGTATTTTGAGAAGAAGCAATTCCTTGGTTCGTCCAATCTTATAACACCAGTCACCATAATGAAAAGATTTGTTTCTCTCATGATAACTGTAGCCTCATGATTGATCTTTCGACAAGTCCGAAGTATCTGAGGGTAGATATCATGCTGGAGCTTGGTGATTCGTATGGGGACAATTGTACAGCCGTTATCTTTCAAATTTTCTGGCGGATCTCCAAATGTACATAGAAGCATCTTGTAGATGTGTTGACGAATATTGACAGGGAGATTGAGGAAAAGGAAAGAGGCCAAGCCTGGTGACGGAGCAATTTGGTCCATGATGGTTACTCAAGACTTCACCTAAGAGGTAGAATGAATGTAGGAAGTAATTTGATGAAGGGAAAATGGAAATAAATCCATGATTGTGTTGGAGATACTCTGAAGTACACTTTTGCATGGAATCTGATTTGAACCACGATTGCGTAAAGAAAGATGCGAGCTGGTGGAGTATGATAGTTCTAGGTCTATTACATAATCGTAATCTTTTCGTATCCCCAATTTTTTGACAGCTCATCGAAGCTATCGTGAAGAATTGGATTGGAGCCGGTGAACTGAAATTATTCGATTGTGTCAAGAACCCGACTTTGTCATAAAATGGAAGATTTCCATGATTACTTTAGTGCAGTAATTCTTTACCTGTACAAGACAGCATTGCAATTCCTCTGTACCCTCTTCGCATCGAATTCTATATCGCCTTGATACATTATAACGACGGGAGGCTTTGAAACACGACAGCAACAAAACAGGGAGGAATCAGTACGTACTCACCTACCCACCTGCCCACCTGCCCACCTGCCCACCTGCCCACCTTTCCGATGAGTCTCAAGTTCTATAGGATTGTTAGAATTTGTCTCTCCCAAATCTCGTGACTATCATCTCCTTGTATGACGTGGTGGACATGTCTCTCTTCCTAACTTCAATGGTTTTATCCATCCCATTTGTCTCATTCCTTTTTTTGATCATTCGACCTTCTTGCCCCGTCTCGACGTATCTCTGAAAATACATCTCCGAAGGTGCAGGAATCAATCCAAAAGATTCGCACCGACGTCATGCAATACTGGGAGTAGCAGAGTGTATCTTATCCTCGAATTATAAGACATTCCTCAGTCGAGGTTTCAAAGAGGTGAAAAAATAAGAGCTTTTTATGTTTTGAAGAGGTGTTTGTCTCAATCATCGCACTGACAATGAATGTTTGGACGTGAAGGCTTGGCAGATGCTTTATAAATAACCTTACTATTCACCCTGCAAAAGCACGGGGTTTCCAAATGCTATTTTTCATTTGTGGATGAAAACCTTCAAGTTGTACTTCAAACCATCAATTTCATTGTCAACATAGTCGTCGATGAACCTTCAAATTTTCAAAACGAAAATATTGAATGATATCTGAGATTTACAACTTACAAAACATTTGTTACCCACCCATGCGTCGCATCGCTCATCGTCGCATGGGGCTTCCCTACATTCTCATCTTACCCCGCCAAATTGTCTTGAGTGATTTCATACCAAACTTTCAAACGTTGCATGTATCATGACAGTGACAGATTTTGATGTCACCTACAAAAGACATCGTTTGGATCTTCCATTTAACTAATGCACATCACAGCTGTCATGGATTCTGACAGCTTCCGTCTTCTTTTTTCGTACTTATCATAATCGTTTTTGCTTTGGGGTCCACGCTGATTGCGTGCAGGAAACTTTATTTTGACTTTCTAAGGTGCTGGAAACCAGAGAGAGGTATAATTTGATTTACTTACAAACAGCTTGATGCTAAAACAATTAATGAATAATCCGACACGAGACGATTTAGCATGATACAATACAGCACGATACAACCAAATTCTACAAGCAAGTTCCTCAAATATCCGACAGTCGTGAGAAAGTCGCTAACGACCTCACCTAGAACAGAAAAACATTGATACAACAGCACCAATAATATCATGGCAACTTGGGGAGCCTACTTTTCCTCCTATGTCAAGAAGAATCCCGGGGTAACGCCCGCAGACAAAGAAAATGAACAAATAATCACACCCATTGTACCACTAAACACCAATAATGATGTCAAAACTATCGAGCCTTTACTCCTTGAGGAGGATGGTTCAGTACCAAACCCGAGCGAAGATGTGAAGAAACGCTTCGATGAAAAGTTGGGGAGTGTGGGGAATCTTGGGATGGGCACAGCTTCCATAACGAGAATGCCGACGTTGAAATCTAATAGTAGAGGTGCAAGGATGGCAAAGATGTTTGGTTATGGTACGCCGAAGGAAGCGAAGGTCGAAGAAAAAATTGTGGAGGATAAAGGGGAAGTGGATTCTCCCGTGGAAGAGGTGAAGGAGATAAAGATTCAAGCAGTGCCCGAAATGAGCAAGATCGAAAAGTTAATAACGGAGAGAAAAGCTGCTGCGATCGGGTCGAGATCTGTTTCTCCAGAAAATACTCAACCAGTCCAGTCGCCGCAACCTGTGCAACCTGTCAAGCCTCTTGAACCTTCTCAACCAGTCCAGTCGCCGGAAACTGTGCAGCCTATCAAAACTGATGAACCTTCTCAACCTACGAATGTTTTGCGATCTCTTCAACTTAAGCAGCAATCAAAACCCATCATCTCAGTGCAAACACAGCAGCCAATAGAGCCTGTTTCACCGACCGATTCAAATCCCTCCCGAAAATCGATGACCGAGACACCTAACTCCATCAGTCCAAACACACCTTTTTCAACACGGTCATCGTTCAAGGGGGCAAGGTCCTCCACAAAACGAGCTTCCACTCGCAGTAAGACTAAAGCTTCAATATCTGCATTGGATGACCTTTTGGCTGGCTTTGGTGAGGAATTCATGTCCAATCCATCTACTCCAAAACCTATCGATAATGAAAAAGCGGTGGAAAAACCAGCGTTAGGAAAGCCAAGGAATCAACGGAAACCGAAGGCTTCAGTCTCAGCACTGGACGATATCATGGCGGGATTGAATTCAATGGAGCCTGCGACAGAAACTCCAACTACACAAAAACCGACAGAAGTACGAAAAAGCGAGATTAGAAAATCTGGAATATCGACAGCTGGTAAGGAGGCAGAACCCATTCCGGTAGTCATTCCTCCGGCTCCTGAAACTTCCAAAGCGATATCCGAACTTCCAAAGACGACATCACAGAGTACCAGGCTATCAAAAAGGAAATCAAAAGCAGTCACAAGATTCCCAGTAGTAGTATCCGAAGTCGCTAAAATCATTCCAAATGTTCCAGCACCCATAGTGACAACAAGACCAATTCCTTCTCTC